GACGTCATGTAAAATGGTTCGATTACGAGGGGGCACACTAGAATGGCGCAATAACGGGATAACGTCATTCAATTGTTACGTCATCAAAAACCTATCCCTTTATTGTCTGATAATGTATTTTTTTTCGATTGTTCTAACCGCTAGGCATCTTAGAATTAAGCATACGGGAGAGTTTATACATAATGCAGCGACCAATCGAAAATAATATACTTGTAAGAGATTATACTAAAAAAAAACCGGGGCAGTATAGTGGTTAAAGAGTTCGCTTGTCACGCCGAAGACCCGGGTTCGATTCCCCCTATGGGTACAATGTGTGAAGCCAATTTCTGGTGTGCCCGGCGGGATATTGCTGGAATATTGCTACAAGCGGCGTCAAACTAAAATCACTCACTCACTCAACAGTTCTTTTGTCATATGGCGGCGGTCTTTAAACAACGACGTCTTGACCAGACAACAACGTTCTCGATGACAAAGTCAGGCCAAGTATCCATATAACTAAACACTGAGTGAGAATGAACGAGATGAGAAATGTACCCATGACCTGTGATCGTATCTAGTCACTAATATGCAGTATGTCTTGTCTCAATCATAGCTGTGTCTATAATGAATCAGAACACAGATTTCATTAGGATGTCTTCAGCAACCCATGCTTGTCGTAAGAGGCGACGAACGGGATCAGGTGGTCAGGCTCGCTTGGTTGACTCACTGCATGTCATCGTATCCCAATTAGGTAGATCAATGCTCGTGCTGTTGATCGCTGGAATCCCCGGTCCAGACTCGATTATTTACAGACCGCTGCCATAGCTGAGTGCGGCGTTAAACAACAACCAAATCAAAACAATGGGATGGCTTTTGAAACAACAAGCACGGGTACATATTTAATAGCATATCCATGTCCGAATACATTGAAGACATAGTCAAACAATCAGGGCATCAAGATAATCTGGTATAATAAACTGGACAATATTTTGCACATAAAAGTGAACGTTCAATTCTGACAATGTGTAACAGAAAATGTTTTCAAAAGAATCAACTAAAAGTAAATAAATAAACAAAACCTGGATCTGTGGCTTTTGTGTAATATTACCAAAACTGTGAGGTGAGTGAATTTTATTCATGGCCGCTTAACGGAATGTCACGTCAGGTGAAACCTGAACTTCACATGAAATGGCGCTGAGGAATGACAGAATGTTGAACTGAGGAATCTGGGCGTGGTACACAAGTATACTGCCGGTGACAGTTTAAATTGAATTACGGCTTACATACTTCAAAGAGGTTAATATAACTGTGTTAACAACAGCAGGAGGATAATATTGCAACAACATAATAGACAGGGGTCACGTGATGAGAAAACCAATTAAATAGGACTAAGCATACATCCGAACACTTACGTAGACATGACTTCGAGTGGCACAAGCTCCGAAAGCAACACATTCCAACTGAAACAAGCCCAAAGACTACAAAACATCCAAGTCATACTGAAGGTGGCTAAAGACGATATTGCAGACATTGTCTTATTATGGGATTTGAGTTTTAATTTACTTTTTTCCTGTAAATTCCCTTTCAGAACACATCTTGGTCTGAATGTCCTACTGAATTTTCTTTTCTGGCACAGTTTATGAACTGTGAAGTTTATGTAGATATTCCATCCATTTATATATCATATAATTATGTACAGTGCATGTGTAGCGGATATGTCGTGAAGGTTATGTACAAGTACCATGCAAGTATAGCGAATGTGTCGTGAAGGTTATGTGCAAGTACCGTGCATGTATAGTGAATGTGTCGTGAAGGTTATGTGCAAGTACCGTGCATGTATAGTGAATGTGTCGTGAAGGTTATGTGCCAGTACCGTGCATGTATAGTGAATGTGTCGTGAAGGTTATGTGCCAGTACCGTGCATGTATAGTGAATGTGTCGTAAAGTGTCGTGAAGGTTATATGTGCCAGTACCGTGCATGTATAGTGAATGTGTCGTGAAGGTTATGTGCAAGTGCAAGTACCGCATGTATAGTGATGTCGTGAAGGTTATGTGCAAGTACCGTGCATGGATAGTGGATGTGTCGTGAAGGTTATGTGCAAGTACCGTGCATGTATAGTGGATGTGTCGTGAAGGTTATGTGCAAGTACCGTGCATGTATAGCAGATGTCGTGAAGGTTATGTGCAAGTACCGTGCATGTATAGTGAATGTGTCGTGAAGGTTATGTGCAAGTACCGTGCATGTATAGTGAATGTGTCGTGAAGGTTATGTGCAAGTACCGTGCAGTGTATAGTGAATGTGTCGTGAAGGTTATGTGCAAATACCGTGCAGGTATAGTGAATGTGTCGTGAAGGTTATGTGCAAGTACCGTGCATGTATAGTGAATGTGTCGTGAAGGTTATGTGCAAGTACCGTGCATGTATAGCAGATGTGTCGTGAAGGTTATGTGCAAGTACCGTGCAGGTGTAGTGAATGTGTCGTGAAGGTTATGTGCAAGTACCGTGCATGTATAGTGAATGTGTCGTGAAGGTTATGTGCAAGTACCGTGCATGTATAGTGAATGTGTCGTGAAGGTTATGTGCAAGTACCGTGCATGTATAGTGAATGTGTCGTGAAGGTTATGTGCAAGTACCGTGCATGTATAGTGAATGTGTCGTGAAGGTTATGTGCAAGTACCGTGCATGGTGAAGGTAGTGAATGTGTCGTGAAGGTTATGTGCAAGTACCGTGCATGTATAGTGGATGTGTCGTGAAGGTTATGTGCAAGTACCGTGCATGTGCATGTATAGTGAATGTGTCGTGAAGGTTATGTGCAAGTACCGTACCGTGCAAGGTTATGTGCATGTACCGTGGTATAGTGGATGTGAAGGTTATGTGCAAGTACCGTGCATGTATAGTGGATGTGTCGTGAAGGTTATGTGCAAGTTACCGTGCAGGTTATAGTGAATGTGTCGTGAAGGTTATGTGCAAATACCGTGCATGTATAGTGGAAGGTCGAAGGTTATGTGCAAGTACCGTGCATGTATAGTGCGTGAAGGTTATGTGCAAGTACCGTGCATGGTATGTAAGGTTATGTGCAAGTACCGTGCATGTATAGTCGTGAAAGGTTATGTGCAAGTACCGTGCATGTATAGTGAATGTGTCGTGAAGGTTATGTGCAAGTACCGTGCATGTATAGTGGATGTGTCGTGAAGGTTATGTGCAAGTACCGTGCATGTATAGTGAATGTGTCGTGAAGGTTATGTGCAAGTACCGTGCATGTATAGTGAATGTGTCGTGAAGGTTATGTACCGTGCATGTATAGTGAATGTGTCGTGAAGGTTATGTGCAAGTACCGTGCATGTATAGTGAATGTGTCGTGAAGGTTATGTGCAAGTACCGTGCATGTATAGTGATGTGTCGTGAAGGTTATGTGCAAGTACCGTGCATGTATAGTGAATGTGTCGTGAAGGTTATGTGCAAGTACCGTGCATGATGTGTCGTGAAGGTTATGTGCAAGTACCGTGCATGTATAGTGAATGTGTCGTGAAGGTTATGTGCAAGTACCGTGCAGGTATAGTGAATGTGTGTCGTGTGAAGGTTATGTGCAAGTACCGTGCATGTATAGTGAATGTGTCGTGAAGGTTATGTGCAAGTACCGTGCATGTATAGCGGATGTGTCGTGAAGGTTATGTGCAAGTACCGTGCATGGTATAGTGAATGTGTCGTGAAGGTTATGTGCAAGTACCGTGCATGTATAGTGCATGTCGTGAAGGTTATGTGCAAGTACCGTGCATGATAGGTTATGTGCATGTGCAAGTACCGTGCATGTATAGTGATGTGTCGTGAAGGTTATGTGCAAGTACCGTGCATGTATAGTGAATGTCGTGAAGGTTATGTGCAAATACCGTGCATGTATCGTCGTGAAGGTTATGTGCAAGTACCGTGCATGTATAGTGGATGTGTCGTGAAGGTTATGTGCAAGTACCGTGCAGGTATAGTGAATGTGTCGTGAAGGTTATGTGCAAGTACCGTGCATGTATAGTGAATGTGTCGTGAAGGTTATGTGCAAGTACCGTGCATGTATAGTGCATGTGTCGTGAAGGTTATGTGCAAGTACCGTGCATGTATAGTGGATGTGTCGTGAAGGTTATGTGCAAGTACCGTGCATGTATAGTGAATGTGTCGTGAAGGTTATGTGCAAGTACCGTGCATGTATAGTGAATGTGTCGTGAAGTTATGTGCGTACCGTGCATGTATAGTGAATGTGTCGTGAAGGTTATGTGCAAAGTACCGTGCATGTATAGTGAATGTGTCGTGAAGGTTATGTGCAAGTACCGTGCATGTATAGTGAATGTGTCGTGAAGGTTATGTGCAAGTACCGTGCATGTATAGTGAATGTGTCGTGAAGGTTATGTGCAAGTACCGTGCATGCAAGTACCGTGCATACATAGTGAATGTGTCGTGAAGGTTATGTGCAAGTCGTGAATAGTTATGTGTCGTGAAGGTTATGTGCAAGTACCGTGCAGGTATAGTGAATGTGTCGTGAAGGTTATGTGCAAGTACCGTGCATGTATAGTGAATGTGTCGTGAAGGTTATGTGCAAATACCGTGCAGTGAATGTGTCGTGAAGGTGCAAGTGTCGTGAAGGTGCAAGTGTGTGTGTCGTGAAGGTTATGTGCAAGTACCGTGCAGGTATAGTGAATGTGTCGTGAAGGTTATGTGCAAGTACCGTGCATGTATAGTGGATGTGTCGTGAAGGTTATGTGCAAGTACCGTGCATGTATAGTGAATGTGTCGTGAAGGTTATGTGCAAGTACCGTGCATGTATAGTGAATCTGTCGTGAAGGTTATGTGCAAGTACCGTGCAGGTATAGTGAATGTGTCGTGAAGGTTATGTGCAAGCACCGCGCATGTATAGCGGATGTGTCGTGAAGGTTATGTGCGATTACCGTGTACGTATAGTGGATGTGTAGTGAATGTTATGTGCCAGTACCGTGCATATTGTTTATGCCTACTGACATTTTTAGGGAGTTTGAGTATTAGGCAGGATCTATGAACATATAGATGGTTTTACATTTGTGAGCGGTACCATCGTCAAGAGCCCATACAATGTCATATCGTTGGTGAGGATTCGTCTGGCAGACATCTAGCCTGCTCCACCAGGCTTCACGATACCTCTCGGCACAAGGGTTGACTGAGTTGTTGCAGTGATCCTTGGCACAGAAGTGACTCCCATCCAGGGTTTCAGCCGGGTCCCCGAGGTTGAAGCGGTCCCCGAAAACACCATCCCCAGTGAACCCCGACACCAACAGCCGATACTCCGAGGCCTCGTCACCGACGGAGAAGGTGTTGTAAGATACTTGTCCGGGAGTGCTATCAAACTTCTTCAACGATATGCTCAACGATATGTTCAGCGTGTAAGGTCTGACGCTGGTCAGAGCATGCATCTTCTCCAGACCCAGCCACATGTAACAGTTGGAGTGGGTGAAGCCAGACTTGTAGTCGGCCCAGGGAACGTCGAGGTACTTCACGTACGCAGCCTCACAGCCACTGATGGTTTTGTCCCTGAACATGATCATGGTGGTGACTCCTTGACATTCCAAGTCAAACGGTTGTGCGGCTTTGGTCGGCCAGACAGTGTAGGTTCCAGTAGAGTTACCAACGTACAGGGAAACGTCTGTACAGTCTGAAACAGTAAAACATTGACTGTCAAACATAGGACAATGGTGGACAAAAGCAAAAGTGTCATATATCAAGGGCATCAATGTGTTAGTGAGCTGGACACAAACCAACTTTGTACAATATTCGAATTGGTTAAAACATAGACAACATGTTATAAATGACCTGTGTGACCCATCATACGAAGTAAGAGAGTCACCCCATTTTGAGCAGCATCGTCTATCAGCTTGACGACGAGACACTTTGGTGAAACTCATGAGCTTGGTTGGTGCCGACTGACCTGGAAGCATGTACAGTGACAACCTGAGGTTCGAACCCACCATCACTGGTGTCCCTCTCGCCTAACTGACGCAACTTCTTTATGGCGGTACTGATGGAAGGTGATATTCTTAACAGGAATTCTTTAGGGATTCATCTTTTGCTTCCTTGCAGAGATCTTCACGATTGGTGAATCCGGTTACACATACAAATGAAACTTCTGGGAAATGACCCTTACAAAAACAGGATCACATAAACATGTCACGATGCCAAAATATTTCATATCTGTAAGTGAAGGTTTACCTTCCATCCTGGTCTCGCACTTCCCTCCTGTGAAGGCAGGTGGACACTGACAGGCAGCACCATCAAGGGTTCCTCCATTCTGGCATGATGACGATGTCTAAAACAAAACAGAGGATGTTTATTTTCTTACATTTATACCAAAGAGGGCCACAACAGATGTTTGCACGGTGAAACACCAAGGTAAGAGACATCACAACTGGCCAGTATCTTCAAAATGCGATTTTAAAAGACTTCTTTCTTATCTCAAAGAAGAAATTGTTCTTGTACCTATAATGGTACGTGCAACCTATCCTTAAAGTATTCGTTGTGTCCTGTTTAAGAAAAGTGTCACAAGGCCTGAGCATTTACGCAAAAAGAATTCAATCAAGGCAAAAATGGATTTTCAACCTAAGAAGTGTTGGGATAGCCTTGTGGTTACAGTGCTCACTTGGTATGCTGAAAGATACGGAATCGACTCCCCTTATGTATATAATGTCTGAAGGCCATTTCTAGTATTCCCCAAAGTCACATTCCTTTATTGTTAAAGGTGGTGTAAAACCCTACTCACTTGCCCATTTTAACATTATCCAAAATACAACAACGAAGAATACTACACATTTCAGGATTTACAGGTTTTATATACAGTTGTTGTGTCCAACTCGTTGGGAGAAGCACATTCCACACGCTCAGTTTGACAGAGTAGAAATTATGATGAGTTATCGATTGTGATTTCGGCACATTCAAGCACGACACCATATTCGACTGTTGTAATTGTTCAATATCGTCCAGTCACGATATAGCTGAAACCAGTCATTGTATATTTAAATATGTTATCCCACACATGTTCATTCAGGATATACAAGTATCTCTCCTGAAAATATTCAATGCCAGAAGGTACGGGTTCGATTCCCCTTATGGATATAATGTCTGACGCCTATTTCTGGGGTTCCCCACAGTCAGATTCCTTCCAAACTCGTTTGCCCATTTAAACTTTACCCAAAAGAAAACAACAAACAATACTACACAGGTCAGGATTTAAAGTCTCATATTAGTTGTGCACACAAAACGCGACGTTATGTCAAACTCGTTAGGAAACGGGAATTTTTACACGCTCAATTTGACAGAGAAGACATCATGATGAGTTTTAGAAGGAATATGCGGGAACCCGTAGGTTCACGACACGATATTCGACTGTTCTAATTGTTCAATATCGTCCAGTCACGATATAGCTGAAACCAGTCATTGTATATTTAAATATGTTATCCCACTCGTGTTCATTAAGGATATACAAGTATCTCTCCTGAAAATATTCAAATTTGAACTCACCTGACTGGAGGACGTGAGCTCTAAGAATGCCTTGCAGGTCGGGTAGGGGACGCTGACAGGAACGGAAGGCTGATCCGATGTCAAAATGGAGCATCTGTTGTCGATGTTGCAGTAGATGAAACCGGTGCAGTTGGCGACGCCGTTGCAGGTGATGGCACATTGAGGGACTGACGCCGTCTGTACGTAGTCGAAAACCATTGCTGCGTCAACACCTGTCTGTACCTTCTGGTAAAAACTCGAAACGGTACATTGTGCACAAAGGATTGCAGTCAATCCTGCAAAACCAGTAAGTAAAAGGTGATACGATTTCATAATTTCCTTCGTGAGATACTTATAGAAGTCTTTCAGTCCGAGCTACTTTCCTTCGACTGTCTCAGTGTGATGCGTGACAGAACTTCTAACTCTGGTTCCTCTACGCGGCCTGCGTTACCATGACTACATGATACATCTCACTACATGGCGAGGGTTGCATCATGGGTATTATTTCTCCTCAGTTGAACGAACAACCCACATAACAAATCATATTCTACTTAAAATAAGTTAAGGATCAACCAGAACCTCTCCTGTTCAATAGTTGATCTGGTACGTCAGTAACTTCAGTGATATGATGGAACCGGATTGTAAACCTGTTTTGAGCGGTATAGAGGTAATTGTGTGGATTTGCGTTACATTGCATTTTGTCCTTTCATGCCATTAAGAGCTATAAGCGACTGGTGTCCTAGTTTGATTTGGGTATGCACAACGTGAGATTACCTTTACCGTATTTCCTCAACCAAACTTTGGGATCCAGATTAAACGCAAGGTAATGTTTCTGCACGGAGTTCCAACAATATTATATTTGCCATTAAACGCCTACAGTCTCCATTAAGTACTGGGACGGAACTAGATTAAAAGAATTCCCCCAAAATTCCCGAGATTTTATTATTCTTGCAATGGCTCCTAGAGTTGATCGAGGAAATTCGGTAGCATTCCATTTATCAATTAATATTTGTAACCTCAGCTAATGAAACCGTTAGTGTTCGTACTCAAACATACTGAGAGTCCGGGTATGACACAACTACTTCAAGAAAAAGATTAAGTAATTGTGACTGAATTTGAGGAAGCTTCTCTTTGTTTCAAAATCCACAACGACTGCTTAATGTATGTACATCATAATGAAATTACACCAATACAAGAATCCAGTTTCGGGATAATGATGTGTCAATTTGTAACTTCAAACTCTACAACTCAACAAGAACGGTATCTATACTAGGCACATAAAGAAACTGTGCATACAAAAAATTAAAATCTAAAGTTATCAAACCTGTGTAGACACATAAGGATTTAAACTCAGAGATTAGTGACATGTATCCAACATGCATGCACGTGCCACGTTCCGTGACGTCAGTGGGTTCGTCCTTGAGACGTGCAATACGTTGTTGCACGTGCATTCTGGGAAAAAGAAACAGAGCAAATGAATGCCACACAATACTGTCACTTTGGAAAGCTCAACCCCTGCCCTTGCGATCGTTCAAAAAATTAAACGGCTATTGAAACGCATAACATGCCAAGGCTCACGTCTGCACAACGTCATGAGGCCATTGGGATGGTCCGTGGGGGAATGTCTCAACGACAAGTGGCTGCACATTTCCACTGCCACCGGAACACCATTTCTGCACTGGTGAGACGCTACCAGAACACAAATGACGTCATCGATCGGCCACGTTCTGGACGTCCACGTGTAACAACGCCAAGGCAGGACAGATGGATAAGGGTGACCCATCTTCGCCACAGGTTTCAGACTGCAGTGATGACTGCCCGAACCATCCCGGGAACTTCGCCGTATCCACCCAAACACAGTTCGACAACGTTTACGCCATCACGGGATCAGACCACTACGTCCCGCCATACGGCCTATCCTGACACAACGTCATCGACAAGCTCGCCGAATGTGGTGCCGAAATCATGTCCGCAGACCCTTGTTTTGGTGGAGAAATGTTGTTTTTACAGATGAGTCCAGGTTTAACATTTCCCATAGTGATGGACGTCAACGTGCCTATAGACGCGTGGGAGAACGTTATGCACTGGCCTGTGTCTTGGAGAGGAATCGCTTTGGTGGTGGTTCCGTGATGATTTGGGGTGGAATAACAGCACGCCAAAGAACTCCTTTGGTGATTGTTCAGGGCAGCTTAACTGGTGTGGGCTACAGGGATCAGATTCTTCCACCTGTGGCAATTCCTTTTCTGCAACGTTATGGCCCTGGGTTAACATTCCAACAGGACAATGCCCGCCCTCATACGGCAAGGGTTGCTATGGATTTCTTGCAACACCACAACGTTGACTTACTGCCTTGGCCTGCAAATTCACCGGATCTCTCCCCGATAGAGCATGTTTGGGACGAGATGGTTCGACGTCTACGCCGTCTTCCTCATCCGCCAGATAACGTCCTTTACCTTGCAACAGAACTTGAAAGAATCTGGCGTGACATCCCACAAGCCTTCCTTGCACGTTTGATAGGCTCTATGCGTCGTCGATGCACTGCTGTTCTCAATGCCGATGGTGGACATACCCGTTATTGAGCTTGTGACATGGTCGTTTGACCCCTGTCCCGCTTGTGGACTCATGACGTCATTGTGATTGACTTTTCAGTTGAAATTCTCCCGACTTGTTATGGTCTCATGATCCCTCCATTAAAGTTTATATGTACCTTTGACATTGTTATCGTACTTATTAACTGGGATAATATTTTGACAATGCACAGTTTCTTTATGTGGCTAGTATATGTACAAGAACCGTCCTTTACGGTTAGTTCCCACCCTATTCTAACGGTACTCAACAAGTTTCCACCCTTATCTAACGGAACATGCCATTTTCTTATGCGCATAAGTTTTTTATTGTAAACCAAACGTCAATGTGTTCTTTAATCTGATTGGTTGAAAAACGTGATCAAATGGTATTCGATTCCCGGAAATTCGCTGCATATTAATACATACAAACATCGCTCACACCATTGTATTGTTACGTCGTCAGCTGTGATGACGTCATTAAAATCATATTGTGACGTAAAGTCCGAATGACGTCACAAATGAGCAGTTCCAGATGCTATCATTGGAGACAGCCGAAACGAACGGCTGATGACATTTCACTGCTGTACCCGTACTCGATGTCAATGAGTGCAGACACAAAAGCGTGTGTGGACCTTTTGGTTTACTTTTGTGTTTACAATGTCGATAAACATCATGTGTTGGGCCAATTTCCGGGTGTTATTGTGTATTTGAAGCACGGGAATTCATTTGGAACCGACGGCGTAAGTTTTTTATTGTAAACCAAACGTCAATGTGTTCTTTAATCTGATTGGTTGAAAAACGTGATCAAATGGTATTCGATTCCCGGAAATTCGCTGCGTATTAATACATACAAACATCGCTCACACCATTGTATTGTTACGTCGTCAGCTGTGATGACGTCATTAAAATCATATTGTGACGTAAAGTCCGAATGACGTCACAAATGAGCAGTTCCAGATGCTACCATTGGAGACAGCCGAAACGGCCGGCTGATGACATTTCACTGCTGTACCCGTACTCGATGTCAATGAGTGCAGACACAAAAGCGTGTGTGGACCTTTTGGTTTACTTTTGTGTTTACAATGTCGATAAACATCATGTGTTGGGCCAATTTCCGGGTGTTATTGAGTATTTGAAGCACGGGAATTCATTTGGAACCGACGGCGTAAGTTTTTTATTGTAAACCAAACGTCAATGTGTTCTTTAATCTGATTGGTTGAAAAACGTGATCAAATGGTATTCGATTCCCGAAAATTCGCTGCATATTAATACATACAAACATCGCTCACACCATTGTATTGTTACGTCGTCAGCTGTGATGACGTCATTAAAATCATATTGTGACGTAAAGTCCGAATGACGTCACAAATGAGCAGTTCCAGATGCTACCATTGGAGACAGCCGAAACGGCCGGCTGATGACATTTCACTGCTGTACCCGTACTCGATGTCAATGAGTGCAGACACAAAAGCGTGTGTGGACCTTTTGGTTTACTTTTGTGTTTACAATGTCGATAAACATCATGTGTTGGCCAAATTCCGGGTGTTGTTGAGTATTTGAAGCACGGGAATTCATTTGGAACCGACGGCTGACGCCGTCAACACGCCGTCAACAAATACTCAACAACACCCGGAATTTGGCCAACACATGATGTTTATCTCCATATTATACTAGTTACGTCTTTGGTATTACATTTATGTGTTTAATTGATTTTACGGTGTGTAAATATTGTTTTATTAACTTGTCTGCCATCGGACGTAAACAGAGACTGGTGACCATCGATCCATGTTAATATCAATATCGGTATTTACTGTGGTTTTAATGTAGTGAATTATTGATTTTCCCCAATTTTTTTTATTCAATTGTAGAGCTTGAACAAGCCGCTAATGACTTGCGAGCTATAAAGTGTTGTTATTTATATTTGATCTGTAATATCACAAACGATAAAAAAGATTGCCAAGTCCATGTCCTAAAATAGAACCTGTGAATATACCTGTTATTTTATCTATCCACCTGTACCCATGCTAAGACTTGACATATTTGTGTGTACGCATGTAAGAATACATTTATTGAGTACTAGTATTTAAAAAAATTCAAGCGTACTTGTACGCAATAGACTTAATAGGAATTGAGTTTTCACATAAATATTTGCGTAATTTACGTAGATACGCAGCTTGTCTGTACCTCTGGAAATATTTCCCCAGTAATCGTGGAAAGGTTTTTCATCAGTGTGTGAGAGCGTACTGGTAGATGGCATATAGGAATCCTCACGATTGTTTGTTTGCAGGACCATGTCTTCACCTATAATTTGTATACAGACGGTTCTTCAAACCTGGAAATGTCTAGTTTTACAAAACTGAGACCAGACAATCCAGTGATCAACATCACGAGCACCAATCTGCGCATTTGGGTTACAATAACACCTGTCAACCAAGTCAGCGAACTTGACCACCCGATCCAGTGATCCGTTAGTGCAATGACAAGCATGGGTTGCTGAAGGTGAATTCTCCAAGGATCTTCAGGGGTCTTTTTACAAAAAATGACAAAAAGCTGAAATATTACAGGACACCTCTCAGGTCAATATTGTTGAAGGTTTGATTCTCATAATTATTATTACCATGTTTTATTATTAATATACGATATATTTATATAGCGCACATATCCACGTAACTAGTACATGCTCAAGGCCCTGGAGTGTTGATCAACGGATGTCTTTTTTCTGGCATTCTTTTTGGCACAACTCAACTCCATGGGGAATATTCAACTCATGCAGCCTGTTAGGTGCAGCGAGTTATCACACAGCTTTATCCTCACAAGGTACCCAATTGCAGCTGGGTGAACTGGGACACATAGTCACATAGCCTTAGACTGCTCAGGGGTGGAAATAACTTTAAAATTGCTAGTGTACTCTGGTACAGTGGCACATGTAAAATCACTTGCCCTGATAATTTTTCCACTATACTGGCCGATTTTCTTGTTGATCTTTTTAAATAAACAACATAATTAACATTGGAGAGTCAAGTGGACACCGGTACAGTATGACATACAAATTTGCTAGCCCGACAGAAAAAAAACACTGGACTGGGGCGTCGGGCAATGGGTTATTTCCACCCCTGCTGCTCGCCAACCTTTCCCCATGCACCTTCAATGCATTCAACACATCACATAAGGCACAAGTCATTTTTTACAGAAAGGAAAAGTGCAAGATCCACAAAATAACATATTTATTATCCTTATTGTTCAGTATATTAGTCAATAAATGTCAATTCATACGTAGCAGCCATAAAATTACCTCATACAATTTGAAACTAGAGACTTTCTGATGTTTGCTAGAAGTTTACTGCCACACTCCAGCTATATTTCCAGCTATATGATGGCAACATGTAAATAATTGATTTTGGATCACACAATCTGATGATTAATATTGTCAGCAACGTACCATTCCATTAGGATAGGATGGCATGCATCAACCATGTCACCAAGCCTGACCACCCAGTCCCTTTGTTTGCCTCTTAGGTCCAGCATAAGTTGTGGACCAAGAACAGAGGGGTGGCCAAGTGGTTAAAGTGTTTGCTCACCATGCCGAAGCCCTGGTTTATTTCCCACATGGGTACAATGTGTGAAGCCTATTTCTGATATCCCTGAACCTGATATTGCTGGAATATTGCTAAAAGCGGCGTAAATCTTTACATAGTCACTGCTGTGGATCAGAGTGTCAATGTTGGACACCAGTAGGGCATAAAACTCTTGTGGAAATTGAACCACTGATCTCATCTAAGGCTGGAGCCTTGTCAACATGGCCACTGAGGTTAACTCTGTGATGTCTTATGTTGGGTGACTCAATCCCATGGTGCACATACCCATGATTGGAATCAAACCTGGATCCATGGCATGATAAACAAACACTTGAGCCACTAGCCTCCCCAACAACTTCACCTATGATGTACATGTACTGATAATTAACATAAACTTTAATTATTACTTGTACTGAGGGTCATGTGACCTTTTCCAAAAATAAACATCTTGTATTGTGTACTAATAATATATTGGCATCAGAACTTTCTTGGCCATAAGTTCCACTGCATATTCTTTAAATATTTGCTTTACAAAACTGACCTAAAAATGAAATAATAATTAAGAAAAAAAGGTTTTACAATTTGTTAAAAGGAAAAAGAAAACCTGAGATTTTATCACTGCGGATTGTGACAAATGATAAAAAATTTTAACTTTAACCCAAAAAGCAATCTGTTATCTTCTGGTATCTTGCTGTGTAACAATTTATTTTTTTAGGGACAGTTCATAATTAATGGCTAGGAGGTGATGATGATTTTAAGGGGGGTCACCCATTTTGATCTTTTGATCTGGGGATGTGGGGGCATCAATTTTGTACACATGTACTAGGGAATGTCATTGATTTTGTACATGACATGCTGGGGTGGTGGGGGGTGTCAGTTACTTTGTACATAAATTTTAGGGTGGGGTCATTCACATTGTGCATACTTCTCCATAAGAATCATCATCTACCCCCCTTGCCATTAATTATGAACGGTCCCTTATTCATCATAGAAAATTCTAATGTAGAAGCTGGCAATTCTAATCTACCATCAACCTGAAGTTTCGTAAACCATTGATACAAAATATGAGACCTTGTCATTTGCATCAGTTTTTATCCCCATGTGAAGTTGGGTGAATTCTCCACCTTCCCTTCCCCCCTATCTCATAACTGAGCAATCCCCAAATACACAGGCCACATTTTGATTGTAATACTAGCATCCATACAATTCAGCTCTTCACTCAAGAGGAAGCACTAGAGGACAGACATTGCAAAAATAGAGTCAGTGGAATACATGAGCATATCACAGTCTGAAATCTCATTGGTCATGGCTGTTAAGGTTTTCATCCATTGGCTGTTACCATGGCCACCGTGGCGGTTTAAGACACACCCCTGATCCTAGCACAGTGAGCTCTTCCAGGTGTTTCACAGGGATGTGGGTAGTCAGCTCGGAGAGTTCATCATGAACCAAGGGGTGTATGCACACTGATAAAGCTGGTCTGGATTTTTCAAATCTGAAACAAAAGAAACCATTTACATAGGATTAAAATAATAAGTGCAAAGCAAGCAATTTGGAAAACAATATCTCATTCAAAATTGCCATATTTTTACGGGGTTTTCTTATTCTTTTCATATTTTATTTTTTTTTGGGGGGGGGGGTCCACTAAGGTGAAACATCTGCAGTTTGAACATATTATTTAGACCCATGAAGATCCGGGGTAAATTAGGTCTTCAGCAACCCATGCTTGCAACAAAAGGCGACTATGTTTGTCATGGCGACTAACGGGATCAGGTGGTCAGGCTCGCTGACTTGGTTGACACATGTCATCGGTTCCCATTGTGCAGATCGATGATCATGCTGTTGAATACTGGATTGTCTGGTCCAGACTCGATTATTTACAGACCGCCGCCATATAGCTGGAATATTGCTGAGTGCAGCGTAAAACTAAACTCACTCACTCACTCACATATTATTTAGGGCATTGAACTCAGTATTGTGAATTTTGGCACCTAAGATGACCGGCTAGCCATGCCCCTCTACCATTCATTGTTACATCAAGACCAAAAAGACTTGGCTCAAAGACTTGGAGCACACACCAAAAGTAGTGATGTCTGCTCAGGGAAGTATATTTTCATAGAGTAGGTGTTTTTATAATCTGAATGATATAATCTATCCAAATGACAAAATGGATTAGTTTGCATGTTAGCTTGTGCTGTTACTGCCCACTGCATTCACAATTGACTGTTGCAGCCTATAGGGAGTGCTGGGTTTGGGTTTAATGCTGCTTTTAACAGTGTTCATGTCATAGAGGGGACGGTGGGGTAGCCAAGTGGTTAAAGTGTTCGCTCGTCACATCGAAGAGCCGGGTTCTATTCCCCACATGGGTACAATGTTTGAAGCCCATTTCTGGTGTCCCCTGTCTTGTTATTACTAAAAGCGGTATGAAACTAAACTCACTCATTATAAAAGTTGCGGGGATGTGCGATGATGTGATGTGATGTGATGTGAGATGTGATGTGATGTGCGATGATGTGATGTGATGTGATGTGCGATGATGTGATGTGATGATGTGTGATGTGATGTGATGTGATGTGATGTGATGTGATGTGAGGTGAGGTGAGGCGAGGGTGAGGTGAGGTGAGGTGAGGTGAGGTGAGGTGAGGTGAGGTGAGGTGTATTTGCTGAAATATTGCTAAAAGCTCACTCACTCACCCACTCCACAATGTTGGAGGAAAGACTGAAGTGATGCAGGTCTCGGAAGTTTACCATTTTTTTTATAAAACATAAATGAGAATGATCGGCTACAACACTACATACTGGTGATAAATTAACTTCAAATACACTGCAAATGGATTCCCAATAGATGACAATTCCACACTTCTGAGGAACACAAAATTATACATCCAAGATCCTTCGTCAACCTTCAAGACAAACATTAAATATATACTGCCATTTCCATCCATTTGATTGGCTACACCTTGTAACCATGGAAACCTACCTGCGCATCAGTGAAGTCTGCAGGTGTTTACAGCTGGTGAGAGTTGCACATGTAAACAGCTGTAACGATACCAGGGACTGCAGCTGCAACAGATAATGAGTTCACAGTACAGTGTCAGTTTATCCTACATAACATGCATTCAGAGAATCACAAGCATAAATACACAATATCATTAAGAAAGTGGTCAAATGTAACATGTTATACTCAAGATTACACTTTCTCAGGAAAGTACAGATACCCCTCTGACAAGTGTAAAATGACACTGCTCCCATAGCCGAAGTTATTAATACACAAGGTTTTCACTGAGAAAGTGTAATCCCAAATATAACATTTTACATTTAACCAATTTCTAAAAGGCATTGTGTATTCGTAACTTTGACTATGGGAGCCGTACCAGTTTACACTTATCTGAGGGTACACAAAGTAGGTGATCAGATTGTCAGATTGATATATTTATAGAAGCTATTGTGGATATATGGATTAGATTGCTGAGTTTGCGTGCTAGCAATTAGGTGTATGGGTTCTAATCCTGGTTGTGCTAAACCTCGAAAGTACTCAACTGAACTTTACCCAGGAAGTCAAACTCCAAATATAGCATATGTAGTCTTCCATTTCAACAAACAAAACAGTCCAGACAAAATATCATTGAATTATAATTCTTGATGACACAAGAATAATTCAAACAAAACAACATATTCTAATACATTCTTGAAGAACAAAGAAATTCCTCTGAGAAGATAAGTGAAACCAGTTGAAAAATATAAACAAAGACTGGCCTTACGATGTTTATGATGGATGACATCACCTACCTTGTCAACAAACTTGTTTACTGCAGCAGCATCTATGAAGGTAGCGTTTTTGGACAGAATACAAAGTCTCTCAAACGTGGAACAGTTGGAGCAGGCTGAGAAGAAGACGCTATCCAGCTTCAAGTACGGCTGCTCAAGTCTACAGAGAACAGAGAGGCAGTGTTTAATATAGCAAGCTATCCAGCTTCAGGTACAGCTGCTCAAGTCTACAGAGAACAGAGAGGCAGTGTTTAATACAGCAAGCTATCCAGCTTCAGGTACAGCTACTCAAGTCTACAGAGAACAGAGAGGCCAGCTTCAGGTGTTTAATACAGCAAGCTATCAGCTTCAGGTACTCAAGTCTACAGAGAACAGAGAGGCAGTGTTTAATACAGCAAGCTATCCAGCTTCAGGTACAGCTACTCAAGTCTACAGAGAACAGAGAGGCAGTGTTTAATACAGCAAGCTATCCAGCTTCAGGTACAGCTACTCAAGTCTACAGAGAACAGAGAGGCAGTGTTTAATACAGCAAGCTATCCAGCTTCAGGTACAGCTGCTCAAGTCTACAGAGAACAGAGAGGCAGTGTTTAATACAGCAAGCTATCCAGCTTCAGGTACAGCTGCTCAAGTCTACAGAGAACAGAGGCAGTGTTTAATACAGTATCCAGCTTCAGGTACAGCTACTCAAGTCTACAGAGAACAAGCTATGTTTAATACAGCAAGCTATCAGCTTCAGGTACAGCTGTTCAAGTCTACAGAGAACAGAGAGGCAGTGTTTAATACAGCAAGCTATCCATCCAGCTTCAGGTAATACAGCTGCTCAAGTCTACAGAGAACAGAGAGGCAGTGTTTAATACAGCAAGCTATCCAGCTTCAGGTACAGCTGCTCAAGTCTACAGAGAACAGAGAGGCAGTGTTTAATACAGCAAGCTATCCAGCTTCAGGTACAGCTGCTCAAGTCTACAGAGAACAGAGAGGCAGTGTTTAATACAGCAAGCTATCCAGCTTCAGGTACAGCTGCTCAAGTCTACAGAGAACAGAGAGGCAGTGTTTAATACAGCAAGCTATCCAGCTTCAGGTACAGCTACTCAAGTCTACAGAGAACAGAGAGGCAGTGTTTAATACAGCAAGCTATCCAGCTTCAGGTACAGCTTCAAGTCTACAGAGAACAGAGGCAGGTTTAAGTGCTTTAATACAGCAAGCTAATCAGCAGCTATCCAGCTTCAGGTACAGCTGCTCAAGTCTACAGAGAACAGAGAGGCAGTGTTTAATACAGCAAGCTATCCAGCTTCAGGTACAGCTGCTCAAGTCTACAGAGAACAGAGAGGCAGTGTTTAATATAGCAAGCTATCCAGCTTCAGGTACAGCTGCTCAAGTCTACAGAGAACAGAGCGGCAGTGTTTAATACAGCAAGCATCATTGGAAGCATCATCACAGGAGTATGATAGTAGGCAGTATGTAGCAGTATTCCAGCAACATCACAGCTTTATAAACTGTCCCAATGTTGGGAACGTGGGTCTTCCGCTGTCAATGTTTAGAACTCTTGACCAGCCCACTACCACACGAAAAACATTTCAGTATGAAAGAAATCCTTCAAGACAAAACATTTTTTTAACTATAATCATCATCAAACACCCATATGAGTGAGTGAGCTTAGTTTTACGCCACTTTTAGCAATTCCAGCAATATCAAGGAGGGGGACACCAGATATGGGCTTCACAGATTGTACCCATGTGGGGAATCGAACCCGGGCCTTCGGCATGCTGAGCGAACACTTTAACCACTACCCCACCGCCCAACACCCATATGACTCGCATGGGCCGAACAAACCAGTGATTGTCAACATAAGGCACTATCGATGCTGTTGTGTTCCTAGTTTTACGCTACAGTACCCAATACATGTATTTTACAGCACACTGACATACCGGTACACATAATCAGCCTTGGGCCAAACAAACCAGCGGTTTTGCAACTTTGCAATCTGTCAGGGTGTAATGACATACAATCAATGAAATCACCACTGAGTGAGTGAGTGAGTGAGTGAGTTTAGTTTTAGGCCACACTCCGCAATATTCCAGCTATATGGTGGCGGTCTGTAAATAATCGAGTCTGGACCAGACAATCCAGTGATCAACAGCATGAACATCGATCTACAGTTGGGATATGACATGTGTCAACCAAGTCAGTGAACCTGACCAGCTGATCCCAAGATCTACTCGGAATAAATGTAAAAAAGAACTACATAAAAGTAGTCGATTGTGACCAACTATTACAATACTATTGCAATAGTTTTTTCTCTTTGATTTGTCTTATTTGAAGTCATTTCCCAAATGAATGTATAGTTTATGTGAAATGAAAAAAAGTTGAAGTACAATATGGAACTGATGACATATGTCAACCAAGTCAGCAAGCCTGACCACCCGATCCTGTTAGTCGCCTCTGATGGCAAGCATGGGTTACTGAAGGCATATTCTCACCCGAACCTTCACGGATTTGATCCCTTGAGCTGCTCATGTCCTATATGGGGCTATTTTCGGCTATCACAGTATTCACGAATAGCGTCTGACCCTCTGACAAATCCGGCAGATTTGCCAACGGTCCGATAGAAGTCTACAACCCGCTGGCCCCAGTGTCTGACTGTATATTTCACAATGACTTTGACTGAAGTTGTTTTATGTGACATGTGACACTTGTTTGCTGTTTATAAATATTATGTTTGTTAATAATTTCAATGCCAATTATAAGAAATGTTAAATCTGAAATGTGTGTTTAATTTTATTCTATGGGTAATGTGAATTTTCAGTGGGTCAGACAGACATTACTTTGAAACACCATTCGTAAACACTGCTATCATACACATCAAGTGCATGAGTGAGTATGATATTACAGCTGGGGATTCCAGAAATTTTCAGTGCTTACAGGACCCAATGTCCTGTTACTTTGAAACACCATTGTACACTATGTGGGAAATCGGCTGGGGACCAGAAATGCGCTTCACACATTGTACAAGGGAAACACGTTAATAACTAGGCTATCCCACCGCCCCTCATGTACATCAAGAGTTGATTTGTGTGCCGTTGTTGACTTCATCTTGGTCATCATCTGTCTAATTTCAAACCAGTTTTTCCAATCACACACACAAACTGGTAACTGTGGTAACAATCCCCAAGATGTTCTACACACCTCAGGTCCCTGAGTTTCTGGAAGTGGTTGAAGGCTTCACAGAGTGAGCGGATGTATTGACAGTGGCCCGACATGCCCAGGTGAGCTATGTACAGCCTCTCCAGGTGGACGCAACCCTTCGCTATAGCAACCAAACACTGACCCTGGTGAATACCTGCAACATAGATGGATACATATGAAACAGTGCACCAGCTCACTGTTCAGATTCATCTACACCTGCTCAGGACCTGCCCATCTACCCAAAGTCAAGCAGCAGACAGTACAAATACCCTATTTCTCAGAATTAATAAAACTAAGGACATTTAAAGTATTGGTTCATTATACACTCCCCATCAAAAGTTTAGTCTCACTAGTGTAAATATAGCCACTTACTTCAGTCAACTGATCTAAACGAGATTTTGCAAAATATTCTATACAGTTTAAGGGTACTGTTTACACATGAACTGATGTATTGTAAAACAAATTCGTAATGTTGAAAAGATGATTGTCATGAGTTCAACAAATGATGAAAATGAGTGAAAATTGGCGTATTCTTAACAAAACTTTACACCAAAACGCAGCTGTTCACATGCACGATATTTGCACATGCTTTTCAGCAATTTGATGCATGATCCTCGTGCAGTTCACCTGCATAACGTTTGCAGTTGGTTCCCCTAAGTTAGTGGAGAAATTCATCTTCGATGTAACCACATATATATACATAACATATAGTGCGTGTTTTAAGTGAGTCTAAACTTTTGATGGGTAGTATATAACAAAGATATGTTGGTAAATTATTTAATACTACATAAGAGTGATATTCCAGCTATATGCAAGAAGAGGAGCCTGGACCACACAATCCAGTGATTAACATGATGAGCATCAATCTATGCATTTGGGATATGTGACATGTTCAGTCAATGCAGCGATGATCATTTTAAGGGGTCGAGTTTTATGAAAAGCATGGATTGCGACATCAAAATTATGATACACAGACTCTGCAGAAAATTGTGTAAAGGATTATCATGATTATTTCAATGCTGATAATGGAACAATGGTTAATATTATTATAAAAGGGATGATATTGATGTAAGGGACAAAACATTTCATACATAGCCGAGTGGTTTCATACTGGAAAATGCAAACAATAGGCATAAAAATTCTGTTATGCAAGCCTTTGGCAGGCGTCATACATGTTTCATATTCCTAAACAATTTCATTAACAAAAGAAAACTCACAAGGGTATTAATCGTTCAATCATGTAATGTCATTGTCGAAACGATCAATATTATATTCTATTCACCAAAGTAACTTTAAAATGCAGGAATATAAAGCCTAGCCAGAACAGCTCCATCAGTGATGGAGGGCCAAATGGGGAGAATTAGAATGACCTTGGGAGATTCTATAGTACAGTCATCTCACCTGGTATCCCTGTCAGTTGCAGATACTTCAGATTGGTCCACTTCCCGATACACAGCAGGTCACAGTCCTTCACCTTGGCAGCCATCATACTGAAGAAAGAAAGGTTCAAAAACACTTTATTTCTACGTTGTTTAAAGCCGCACTCTGTCAAATCAAGTCTGGACCAGACAATCCAGTGATTGACTTAATGAACATAGTTCCAGCTGGGTAACAATGACCTGTATCAGCCATAGTAAACCACATAAATTGATCAAACAACCTCAAATTCTACAAGTACCAGGATTCCGTGGTTCTAAACAAAGTGTCCTTGGCAGGTACATTTGGGGAAAAGACATTATTTTGTTTAGATTTGGGAATTTTTTTGTATATTATTTATGTAAATTCATAAGCATCTGAAGAACATACTTTCATCATGAATCCATATCAACAATGTAAATCTAGGCATTCAAACGCATCTTCCTCATCACTGATCCCAATAACATTAGTTACATGGTTAATTCAAATGTAGACTTGGGGCCCAATATAGACCTGTGAAAATGTGTAAATACATCCTGGTGTACTCCTAAGGATACCTTTAACATGAGATCAGTTTGATTGTTTGTTTCTTTACACCGAAGCAATATTTCAGTTATATGTTGGCAGCCTGTAAATAATTGAGTCTGGGCCAGACAATCCAGTGATCAACATCATGAGCATCAATCTACACAACTGGGATACAAAGACACGTGTCAACCAATTCAGTGATCCTGACCACCCGTTCCTGTCAGTAGCCTCTTCGACAAGCATGGGTTACTGAAGACCAATTCTAACCCGGATCTTCACGGGTCTAACATGAGATGAAATGACTCAGACTAGTGCAGAGTTTCATCCCTGTTCAGTCACCATCTTACCATGCTCTGTAGCTGAAAGTTCCTGGCAACACTCCGAAGTATTTGTTGAAAGCTGACCGAAACCCAGCGCCGATCACTTCCATTTCCTCAATATGTGGGCACTGAGAGACAAGGCGGGATAGCCCACTAGATGGCGCTTGAGGCTCTGCAGGCGGTGGGTCGGATGACGTGGAGGGCTCCTACAAAAACACTTCAGCTTGACACCAAATATTTTGAATTATTTTAAAGTTTCTTTTCTTAGTCTCTAGAAATAAAATGGATGCACTATAATGCTGTAATCATCAATATGCCGGTGTGCATTGTATAAATGTCTAACATATTTTATATTTGGGATTACACTTTCTTAGTACAGTGAATGAGTGAGTTTAGTTTTACGTCGCACTCAGCAATATCACAGCTATATGGCGGTGGTCTGTAAATAATCGAGTCTGGACCAGACAAGCCAGTGATCAACAGCATGAGCATCGATCTGCTCTATGGGGAATCAATGACATGTGTCAACCAAGTCAGCGAGCCTGACGACCCCATCCCGTTAGTCGCCTCTTGCGACAAGCATGGGTTACTGAAGGCCAATATTCTAACCCGGACCTTGACAACTCTTAGTAAAGTTGTCAGATTCGATTAACACGTCCAACATGTATTCAAACGTCTGTCCCATGTTTAAGTCTTCATACACACTTACAATTTCTTCCTAAATATACTTGATATTAGTCTTGACCTCTGCACAAAGAGATAGGACACTTACAGATTTCCGGCCCCCACAATTACTCTCCTTCACAAGGTGGAAGGACTTTTCACAAATAACAGGACAAAATGCAAAACAATGGATTTGTTTGTTTGTTGTTTGATGCAATATTCCAGCTATATGGCGGCAGTCTGTAAATAACCGAGTCTGGACCAGACAATCCAGTGATCAACAGCATGAGCATCTATCTACAGTTGGGATATAATGACATGTGTTAACCAAGTCAGCGAACCTGACCACCTGATCCCGTTAGTCCCAACATGCTTGGGTTGCTAAAGAACAACAATTATTCAAACCCAGATCTTCTCAAAGTGAGTGAGTGAGTTTAGTTTTACACCACCCTCAGCAATTTTACAGCTTTATGGCAGTAGTCAGTAAATAATCGAGTCCAGACAATCCAGTGATCAACAGCATGAGCATCGATCTACGCAATTGGTAACCGATGACATGTGTAACCGATCCCGAGATGGCAAAACAAATGGCAAGAAGAACTACACAAATGTACATCAGATAATGAAATAAATCAAATAAATCATGTACGTGCAGTATGGTACATTGATTGCACCTAATTGGTTCAAGGCAACACATGTTCTCAGCACTACAATGATCGTAACATCCTTACTCTAACATATACTTATGAAAGTCGTAGTGCTAAAATCATTCCATGTAAGATGGCCCAGAACAGGCAACAAAATAACTTGCCAGATTAGTTCTGGCTCACCTGCATGACAGACTGCAGACCGATCCTCCTCTTCTTGGCAAAACTGACAGTGTACTGGTCAAGCAAGCGTTTGTTGACAGGCTTCTCCTCCTGCTCTGTGTCAAGGGTGTGGGTCAAGCAACAGAGTGAGAGACTCATGCTTTTCCACTCTGAAACAGTGGGAAATAAGCACATCAATACAAAGTATTAAAATAATAATAACATATAATCATGATAGCAAAACTTTAAAATATTAACAATTAAAAAATATATCTACCACTTAGAAAAAAGAAAAGGAAATCACCACAGGATTGACTTTAGTGAAGCAAGACAAGATAAGATTTCACTACTGTTTGCCTCACTACTGCCTACATAACAGTTCGCTTTCTCAGGGCTTGATTTAAGAGATGCTAACCTACTTGCACCAGGTGCCACTAAGATAAAAATCTAGCTACACCGGTCAAATTCCAATTGCACTGCTCTTATTGCAATATGTAATGAAAGAAATATGGTATTGAATTATATAGATGTTTTATTCAGAAGTTTGCACCTAGTGCAAGTTAGACTAATAACTAATTTGCACTTTGCAAAATTGGGTTGCACCAGTGCAAGCAACAAAGCACTAAATCAAGCCCTATTAATGGTGTTTTGCCAAGTATTTCGGTTACTCTGATATTGGACACAAGCCTGAAGCCATGCAAGTGTTAGCATGATTATATACTGCAGAGCATGTTAACCATGCAGCCAAACCTAGACACATAATCATAATAATCAGGAGAAACATGGAACTGAAACAACAATCATAACTTTCTAGCAAGAATACGTCACAACTGCAAGATTTTGGCAGGCATATATGACACAAGGGAAGTAACTCTGTTCAGCAGCCAGGTAAAACATGGAACTCCGGTACACAGTATTTCTACACAAATGACAATCCGTAGCTTCATCAGTCCAAGCAATACTTAACCAATGAACATCACCAGAGAAAGGAATGATAGAGCGATACAGCATATACTTGGGGCATCCTAACGAGTTGATGATCAAGGGACAAGCAGAGATGTGCCCGAAGACATAGTACTGTGTACCTGACAGTATATACCTTGATGCCTAAGTAGATTGAGATACAAAACTGGCATCAAGGTATATATTGTCAGGTTTTTGCACAACAAGCCCCTATGGTTCAGTATGATAAGATAGTGAGGGTGCAATAAAATGTCTTTTCTGATGAAGTACTTCTAATTCATGAAATTGATATTCTCTTTTTATGTAGGTGAACCACAACCTGAACCATTTGTTTTTATATTTCGGAGATCAAAGACTGGATATTGGGGGAAACACATATAGGCTAGGAGGCACTGTGAATGTAACGCTATTTATAGCCAGCTGGGCAATGCTAGAGAATATACTACTAGCTGGTTGTTAAAACGTTTCTGTTATTATTCATACTATATTATTCATTATAGCTAGTAATCTCTGTTACCATTACAACTGTTTATATTGTTCATTGTTTACTGTTTAACGCTGCACTCAGTAATATTCCAGCTAGATAGCAGCGGTCTGTAAATAATCCTTTCTGGACCAGACAATCTGGTGATTGAAATCATGAGCTAAGTCAGCAAGCCTGACCACCCGATCGTGTTAGTCACCTAACAGGTAACTACTGCAACTGGGATGATATTTTATTGTATGTAATGCAATAAATAATATAGTGGCAGTGAGGTAGCCGAAGTGGTTAAAGTGTTCGGTCTCCACACCAAAGACTCAGGTTCGATTCCACACATTGGCACAACGTGTGAAGCCCATGTCTGGGGTGAGGTGAGGTGATATTGGGTTTAACGTCATGCTTGAGAATATTTCGCTCATATGACGACATGCATGCGTGTGTATGTGTATGTGCGGCTGCTTGTACTAGCCCAGACTGAAGCTGGTTTTATAGTGCTAGCCCACTGAGATACCATGCCGCAGTGAAGCATGAATACCCCACTCAGACACATTATACTGACTCCGAGCCGACCAGTCCTTGCTGTACCCATTAATGCTGAGCGCCAGACAGGGACCAACAAGTACCATATTTTAACGTCTTTTGGTATGACGCGGTCGGGGATCGAACCCGAGACTTTCCGCTCTCCGGGCGGACACTCTAACCACTACACCACGGACGCGGTCCCCATGTCTGGTGTCCTGTGCTGTGACATTGCTGGAATGTTACTAAAAGCAGCATAAAACAAGACTCACCCACTCACTCACTCACTCACTCAATCACTCACTGCAGTAAATGCATTGTGTCGTGGGCCTCATACCAGGATACAATGCTGTATCATCACTCTGTAGACTGTTACACCATTAGAGACAAGGGACATAATCCTACCTGTGTTCAAGGACAACATCTGCCACAGACATGCCTGTGGGTTGTCCTTATCATGGACGTGTATCCCGGACAGGTTGATGTGGCGGAGTTTGCAGCATGTGACCAGAAGCATTTGAAGACCACAGACGTCTGCCTCCATTTGATTGTCTCTCTGTACACAATGAAGAGGGAAAAGACATGGTAAATAGGCATCAGGTGTTAATATAAACATGCTTATATGAAATGCTGTAATGAAAACCTTTTTAAAAATGATTTTCGAGGTTAAATGACTTTTAATATATAAAGGTGGGTAGAGAATTCCTTTATTTGAAGAAAACTGAAATCTAAAGCGGCCTTCACACGGCAAGCTAAAGTTTGACAACACGTTAAAATTTTAAAAGTTGTCAAAATCGCATTTTCACACGTCAAACGCATGTTGTCAAACTTCCATGTCATTTTTGAGCGCCATGTCTCTATCAGTGTGTTCACGTGACTATTTCGTTGACTGTGAGTGGTTGTTTTTGAACAACACAAGTTTGGCAACACTTCACACGTCAAACTTGTGTTTGACAACACCAAAAGTTTGACGGAAAAGTTGGTGAAAATAGAGACCGATCCTATTTCTTGACAACAGTTTGACAACTCTGAAATTGGTGCTGGTGGCGAGTTGCCGGAAAGTTCAAACTCTCAAACTTGAGTTTGACAACATGTGTTTGCTGTGTGAAGGCTGCTTTAGTTTTTATGCCCCTGATGATACAGGTTGCTGGACACTCCTGGTTCAGGAAGATGCAGCAGTATTTAGGAAGACAACATGTTTTGTCATACTTTAGTTTGCCGTGTGAAGGCCACTTTAGTTTTTATGCCCCTGATGATACAGGTTGCTGGACACTCCTGGTTCAGGAAGATGCAGCAGTATATAGAAAGACAACATGTTTTGTCATACTTTAGTTTGCCGTGTGAAGCCCACTTTAGATTTTATGCTCCTGATGATACAGGTTGCTGGACACTCCTGGTTCAGGAAGATGCAGCAGTATTTAGAAAGACAACATGTGTTGTCATACTTTAGTTTGCCGTGTCGAAGGCCACTTTAGTTTTATGCCCCTGATGATACAGGTTGCTGGACACTCCTGGTTCAGGAAGATGCAGCAGTATTTAGAAAGACAACATGTGTTGTCATACTTTAGTTTGCTGTGCGAAGGCCACTTTAGTTTTTATGCCCTGATGATACAGGTTGCTGGACACTCCTGGTTCAGGAAGATGCAGCAGTATTTAGGAAGACAACATGTTTTGTCATACTTTAGTTTGCCGTGTGAAGGCTGCTTTAGTTTTTATGCCCCTGATGATACAGGTTGCTGGACACTCCTGGTTCAGGAAGATGCAGCAGTATTTAGAAAGACAACATGTGTTGTCGTACTTTAGTTTGCCGTGTGAAGCCCACTTTAGATTTTATGTTCCTGATGATACAGGTTGCTGGACACTCCTGGTTCAGGAAGATGCAGCAGTATTTAGGAAGACAACATGTGTTGTCATACTTTAGTTTGCCGTGTGAAGGCTGCTTTAGTTTTTATGCCCCTGATGATACAGGTTGCTGGACACTCCTGGTTCAGGAAGATGCAGCAGTATATAGAAAGACAACATGTTTTGTCATACTTTAGTTTGCCGTGTGAAGCCCACTTTGATTTTATGTTCAGGATACAGGTTGCTGGACACTCCTGGTTCAGGAAGATGCAGCAGTATTTAGAAGACAACATGTTTTGTCATACTTTTTTGAGTTTGCCGTGTGAAGGCTGCTTTAGTTTTTATGCCCCTGATGATACAGGTTGCTGGACACTCCTGGTTCAGGAAGATGCAGCAGTATATAGAAAGACAACATGTGTTGTCATACTTTAGTTTGCCGTGTGAAGCCCACTTTAGATTTTATGTTCCTGATGATACAGGTTGCTGGACACTCCTGGTTCAGGAAGATGCAGCAGTATTTAGAAAGACAACATGTGTTGTCATACTTTAGTTTGCTGTGTGAAGGCTGCTTTAGTTTATATGCCCCTGATGATACAGGTTGCTGGACACTCCTGGTTCAGGAAGATGCAGCAGTATTTAGAAAGACAACATGTTTTGTCATACTTTAGTTTACCGTGTGAAGGCCACTTTAGATTTTATGCTCCTGATGATACAGGTTGCTGGACACTCCTGGTTCAGGAAGATGCAGCAGTATTTAGAAAGACAACATGTGTTGTCATACTTTAGTTTGCTGTGTGAAGGCTGCTTTAGTTTTTATGCCCTGATGATACAGGTTGCTGGACACTCCTGGTTCAGGAAGATGCAGCAGTATTTAGAAAGACAACATGTGTTGTCATACTTTAGTTTGCTGTGTGAAGGCCACTTTAGTTTTATGCCCCTGATGATACAGGTTGCTGGACACTCCTGGTTCAGGAAGATGCAGCAGTATTTAGAAAGACAACATGTGTTGTCATACTTTAGTTTGCTGTGTGAAGGCCACTTTAGTTTTTATGCCCCTGATGATACAGGTTGCTGGACACTCCTGGTTCAGGAAGATGCAGCAGTATTTAGAAAGACAACATGTGTTGTCATACTTTAGTTTGCTGTGAAAAGCCACTTTAGTTTTTATGCCCTGATGATACAGGTTGCTGGACACTCCTGGTTCAGGAAGATGCAGCAGTATTTAGAAAGACAACATGTGTTGTCATACTTTAGTTTGCTGTGTGAAGGCTGCTTTAGTTTTTATGCCCCTGATGATACAGGTTGCTGGACACTCCTGGTTCAGGAAGATGCAGCAGTATTTAGAAAGACAACATGTGTTGTCATACTTTAGTTTGCTGTGTGAAGGCCACTTTAGTTTTTATGCCCTGATGATACAGGTTGCTGGACACTCCTGGTTCAGGAAGATGCAGCAGTATTTAGAAAGACAACATGTGTTGTCATACTTTAGTTTGCTGTGTGAAGGCCACTTTAGTTTTATGCCCCTGATGATACAGGTTGCTGGACACTCCTGGTTCAGGAAGATGCAGCAGTATTTAGAAAGACAACATGTGTTGTCATACTTTGGTTTGGCTGTGTGAAGGCCACTTTTGGTTTTTATGCCCTGATGATACAGGTTGCTGGACACTCCTGGTTCAGGAAGATGCAGCAGTATTTAGAAAGACAACATGTGTTGTCATACTTTAGTTTGCTGTGTGAAGGCTGCTTTAGTTTTTATGCCCCTGATGATACAGGTTGCTGGACACTCCTGGTTCAGGAAGATGCAGCAGTATTTAGAAAGACAACATGTGTTGTCATACTTTAGTTTGCTGTGTGAAGGCTGCTTTAGTTTTATGCCCCTGATGATACAGGTTGCTGGACACTCCTGGTTCAGGAAGATGCAGCAGTATTTAGAAAGACAGCATTACTCATGGTCATTCTATGGCTCTTGTCTTGTATAAATTGAGACATCAGATAATATCTGTGAATGAAACTCAGAATGGGTAGACCATCTGTCAGAAGCCATGAGAGTCATATCTTTGAGAATCTGCTGTTTGTCCTGTCATTTTCCAGATGTAACAGCTGGGATTCTTGGTCTATTTTTCACCATGAGTTTTCTCAAAGTGGTCAATGTTTACATAATTTTCAGCTTACTAAACCCTCAAACTTAGTGTTATGAACCTGCAAGTGTTAAAGAGCTCTCAGGATATATATGCTTCCAATGTTTCATGTGTTTGTAATGAGTTTTCGGAATACAGATGGGTGACTCTGTGGTCCGACACTCCCACACAGATAGTATCTACATCATGCCCTCAGGTGGTGGCGATTTTTTAGCAAATTAGCCATACATTAAAATAACCAAATCACAAAAACTCTGGCAATGATAAACACACATTGAATGATGTGGTCTTATGATTTTTTAGTATTAACCGCAAACAAGTTAATATACAACACTAAATATAAATGCCATATTAGAACTTTTATCAGTTGAGAAGGTAGCATGTACAAGAGATGGCACCCGCACCAACCATAAACAATGATTAAAATCACGTGCATGTGAATATTGATTAATTGTCGATAACTATTGGAGAAGGAATTTTGAGCAGAAATGTCAATAAAGTCTGAAAGAAATCAACATATTTCACATCACTGGTGAGTGTTGACACATTCACACATAGATTACCTAAAAAAAAACCAACATCCTGACATAATTTAAAAGCAGCATATGAAAATAGACCTAAATCTGTGTATTGTGTTAGTAAATTAAAACTTTATTTCATCACAATAGTTCATATAAAATATTATCATTAACAAACATTTTATATTGATAATTATTAATAATTATTCTCATTGATGGTCTTTCTAATTATCTTTTTAGCCAGCCCTACTTTCAATAGTCTACAGATTTCTACTCACACAGAAATACTCGGCAGCCATAGCAGACAACATAAACATTAGCTAAAGCCCAAAGGCAATGTGTCCTTGCTTATCCAATAAAAAACATCTCCACTCCATTATGAATATGGTAAATATTCTGGGTCCTGTTCAACAAAGTTGTGGGCGATGGGGTAGCCTAGTGGTTAAAGCGTTGGCTCGTCACGCCGAAGGCCCGGGTTCGATTCCCCACATGGGCACAATGTGTTAAGCCCATTTCTGGTGTCCCCCGCCGTGATATTGCTGGAATATTGCTAAAAGCGGAGTAAAACTAAACTCAGTCAGTCAGTCAGTCAACAAAGTTGTTATAATGTTATGACCTACAGTAGTTCTACGGATGTTTGGTGGATAGGATCTTTGAATTCATAAGTAACGTCATGTACATCTGACTTTTAAATGAAAGAAAACACCAACAATGGCAGTCCAATTGAATTACAATCTTCATACTCATTCTGTCGAAATTTGCTGACAACACCTAAGGCAATGGATGGGTATGTGACTATGTTCATATTCACTGACTATATAATCATGAATAGATGGCAATATGATCATGAAAATACAAAGATATATTTTATTTTCAAGGACGGAGATAACTGGGTTTAATATTATGCATATATATCCCAACACGAGCTGAATTCGATGTTCTGGTGATTTCGACGATTGCATTGCTCGCTATATCGGGGGAGTATGTGTGCGATCGGAGTGAACAAACAGTTTCACTGGTAGGGCGGTGCCTAATCGCTGTCGTGAGAAGTTTTATTGACAATGGAAATCGGGAAGTAAAGTTATATAAAAAGCAAACAAACATCAATATTATTTACCCGAGATCGTTAATACCACTTCAGATGCAAAATCAGTTGCCTTTATAACAAAAAAAGCAAGCGAAAATTCAGTAAGATCAGTCGTCTGCTGGTGACAAGCAATATATAAATAGGAAGCCACTTGATCACAACACTCCCTTGCAGTGCGGAGCAAAAAGTATGGCTCATCGTCGAAAACCCATACAAAATACCCGGATGTTACGAGCGGCCACTGTTTCGCCGATACGTGTCATCAACGCTATTTTTGTAGGAAACACTTGATCTTTTTGTGTGAAATAGATGAATATATCCTTTATCACTCGAGGTTAGTAAAATAAAAACTTTAAATGATATTACAGATAAAAATTACGTTTTTGTCTTACATCGTCGAAAACCCCTGACACCGGGATATATTATGCTATACATGTTATAAGTACAAGTATATGAAGAGATTATCATAGCATGACTTCCATATCATACTCGTTATCAAACATAACATCCATATCTGACCAAGTCTGTTGAATTTGGTTTGTTTCTTTACATCGAAGTCAGCAATATTCCAGCTATATCGTGGTGGTCTGTAAATAACTGAATCTGGGCCAGACAATCCAGTGATCAACAGCATGAGCATTGATCTACGCAATTGGGATACGATGACATGTGTCAACCAAGTCAGCGAGCCTGACCACCCGATCCTGTTAGTTGCCTATTAAGACAAGCATGGGTTACTGAAGATCAATATTCTAACCCGGACCTTCATGGGTAAACGATTTTGGACCAACGATGGTGGATCATATCTTAAAAGTTGTAAGGGCCTTAAAACAGGTTTAATTCTTTGAAAACTCACTTCATTTACTGAAAAGTCATAACTGAATATTTTCTGAGGACCCTTGGAGTGGGAGGTTTATGTTAACGTAATATTAGTCATCACTTTAAAGTAGCAAGTTGCATCATTTTACATTATATGTGAAATTTGCAAATGCAATTAGTGCATTTAAGCAAGCAATAACAACCTGAACAGGAAAATCTTAAAAATGACGCTAACCAATTTTTTTCAATGATTGCGCGTTGGTAATAAAACGATCCTCAATTGTCAGATTTCAACCAATTCCCAACACTGATAAGTAGAGTATATCACGGATATAAATAAAGATAATGATTCCTATCCCTGCACATTTTGTAGCATTACCATAGTACTTAGTATTTACTATATTAGTATTTTAGATATTTGGTAAATTTTTGTTTTAACTCTGATTTAATGTTTTCTTTGTTTTCAATTAAATGATCTTGAACCAATCTCCTAATCAAAAGTAACATTGGCACCACTAACAGCGAGATATTTCCAGGATGTAATGGAATACATGGAGTCAATCTACGAGTTTGTGAACTTTACATCACAAGTATTCCATAATGTTACGCACAAAATATTATGCAGCATGCATGATATTGGTTATGTGGCAAGGGGCTGATATGGACAGTAATTTCTCTGTTTCATTTCAGGACAGATACACAGAGTAAAATGTGATGCATAACAATATCCCATAAATGATAAGATTAAGAGAAGTATGTCCCACCTTGACTTGTAGTATATTATGGCAGTTCTGTAGGTTGATGCTGACTAGATGTGGGCAGCTCTCTGCGATCACCTTCAGACTAGGGCTCTGGATTTTACTGTTGTCTGCCAGATTTAAATACTGTAAATTCTTGGCACGGTCAAGCTGAAAGACAGTGTTGGGTAGATCAAACACAGCCCTTGAAAGGTCCAGGTATTTTAAAGTGTCAATCTTCTGGAGACACTTGACAAAGTGAGATTTATCTTGCAGCTGCTGCAGGTTGGACGTTGGCTGAAGAAGGGTTTCAAATGACAAACTCAGCTTACACACTTCAAATAAAGTTCCAAAGAAGAACATTCTTGCGGCAGGATCGATGGCATCGTTAAGACACAAAACTCGTAGATTCTTCAAATTGTCCTTATTGTGAATCTGAGGCTGGAGCAGGTACCTCGGCATCCCGCGGGAACTGCTTGGAGATCCCAGAACATGAAGCTCTTCCAGGTCCCGACAGTACTCGAAGAAAGACGGTTGTGACAAGAAATGCATTGAGATGTTGTGAGAAAACTCTAACTGGTGTCTGAAGTGCAAACAGATAACTCTCAGACCAGCAACGGTCAACTGGGCATCCGGACTTGTCCCGAGCTCTGTGTGAAAGTCACGGATGTCCTGAAGTGTGAAAGCCAGTGTCTTCAGTTTCTTTACACCTTCCATGATGCGACAAAGTCTCTTCACCGTCATGTTGCATTGTATCAGCTGAAGGTTGCGGACATTCTTACAACAACCTACTCCCGACTCCAGGACACGTCCTGTGATCCAGTAGCAGTAGTTAAGGTTGAGAGTCTCTATGTGCTGGGATGCAGTTCGCAGGTAGTTGACAAGTAGGTCGTCAGTCAATCGGTAACAGCTTTGAAAGGATGTTTGTCTGAATCAAACACATAAAACATGTAAACATGATGAAAACACATATTAGTTAGTTTTGTTTATCCATTCTTTAACTCCAAACTCAATTTCAGCTTAAAGTTGATCAGTGAGTGAGTATGGTTTAACGCCGTTTTTAGCAATATTCCAGCATTATAACGGCGGGGAACACCAGAAATGGGTTTCACACATTGTACCCATGTGGGGAATCGAACCCAGGTCTTCAGCGTGACGAGACAACGCTTTAACCACTAGGCTACCCCCACGCCCTAAAAGTTGATCAGAGTACACAACCCTTCACCACAGCATCTGGCCCAGGTGAACACCTGCAACACTGTAACAGTACTCTCCTCTCTCCCACTGGTTCATTACAACATACATTGCAATGAATATTTATTTTTTGGTGTACCGATGCACTGAACAATATTTCCTCTATATGATGGTGGGCTGTAAATAATAGGTGATGGGTTACACAATCAAGAGACTGACATCATGAGCACCAATCATCAATTGGGTCAGCCTGACCACCCAATCCCAATTGTCAATCACCACAAGGTCTCACAGTCTAAAATACTAATTACAGAGCTCTAAAGAACAGACATGACAAATATTATGTTTAGTTACTTAGGAATCAATGTGAAAAGTTAGTTTTGAGCAGAATATTCCTAGACAACCTTACACAGAAAACAGCACACTTCTCCCTGGACACTTCCTCATAGCCCATATCATTTACCGTAAATGAGAGCAACTCTGAGTAATATGACTGATTGACTGAGTTTGGCTTTACGTCGCTTATAGCAATATTCCAGCAATATCACGGTGGGGGACACCAGAAATGGGCTTCACACATTGTACCCATGTCAGGATTCGAACCTGGGTCTTCGGCGTGACGAGCCAACACTTTAACCATTAGGCTACCCCACTGCCCCATGAGTAATGTGATGTAATTATTGTTTCCTTGACTCTTCTCTACTATTTTCCCTCATGTAATGCCGCTTTGAACAGCATTCCAGTTATAGCATGGCATGCCAACTTAACATTGGAGGAAAGTCTCAACTGTTTCCGGTCACAGTTACCCTGTGGGTGAAGACCATGAGCACAGTGTTGATGACAAACCTTGAAACATAATCACAGCAGTAAACACTTGATTTTAAGTGAACATTTCTAGCACTGGGAACACTTTTAACCTTACCAACACTTAACAGTACATAACAGGAATTTTGAAATATACTCAGTTCTAAATTTAAGTGAGGGTATTAATGTTACTTGTATTATAAGTGAGGGTAACTATGTGTCATAAGATATTATGGATAAGTAAAGTATTTTTGAACAAATTGTATTCAGTTGTATTCATATCATCAGATATAATGCCATTATCACCTTTAGAAAATGTTTAACATGTTAAACAGAAATATATTGTGCAATTAAGTTTCCATTCTATTGTGAATTGTCACATCAAGAGTTATGTGTATCGTTACTGTTATGAGTGACTAGACAGTACAACACTTAACCAACACTCTGTCCTAAAAATGGCAAACCGATTGAACAAATGTTAAGGGCTCGCCATTATGTGACTTTATTTATTTACGAACGTTAAATCAGCATTGAGGTCACAAGATATTAGGTAACTAAACTTATTATTCCTGCTAAGAGACACGATACATAGTTTTAGGCTATGGGTTAATCCCAGCTCTGATTTCCCAAACTGTAAACTAGTGGACTTTAAATCCATTAGCATATGAACAAAGAATGATTTTTGTCTGGCGGAGGTTGCAAGTTATCAGGGGAATTACCTGACCAAACATCGATCATGGCAGAGTCTGTTAAACTTTCTGTCAACCTTGCTGGTATTGCATAAGTCGATTGAAGGTAAATAACGTAAAATGTGGACGATAATATCTTCGGAAAGTCTGTCAAGTTGACTTTCCATGGGCGCGGCCATGATTGAAAAATATCGATTTTCTCTGTTTGGAGAGTGGTCCAGGGGAAGCAATCGATTTTAATTTATGTACCTGAAGAGTTGCTTCCCCTGACAGGAGAAGGTCGGGAAGTTTTCCAGAGGCGAAGAAACAACAACATCACGAGCGACGTGAGTTCCGTGTTGACAAGTTGCGTTTGACTCAAATAGTGCTTAGTAACCTTGATGAGGGCATTTTAAATTTGTGACTACACGGCATCACGACGGTGAATCATTCATCGAGAAACGACTGAAACAAGGTTATGCACATTTACAAGCCCCTTTCATGATTTCTGGAGACAAATAGACATTAAGAGGAAAAACAGTAAGTTGAAAAAGAGTGTCCGTCAGTTGATGTACAGAGATTATAGTTCGGCTTAGTCAGTTTTATGCAAACCAAGTAAGGGACACATCATTTATGACAGTGCATTTAATTTCTATTAGCCCGAATGAGCTACATCGCGCTGACCAGCAATTCAATCTGACACCAAAAACTTAGGTTAATTAGTGGGTATGTGCGTTTGACCATGCAAATATGCAATTCATTAACTGTGCATTGACTGACCCTTTTTCTCAGCTATTTATTTTCAATGTTATGATGTGATGTGATATGTTTATGGTTCAACTTTGAAATGTATTGTGGAATACTTGAAGGTTGTTTTGAATCTGACAGTGTCAGGATGTACTGGATACAACCAGTTGAATCAATCTTCTCAGTACTGTAACAGAGACAGGTAGAAATGGCAGTTGAATGTACATCTGACTTTATTTCCGTGAGCAAATGGGAATAGCAGATGTGCTGATTTATTGTCATTGCTTTTTGTATGATATCCGGTATTGCATTTTATTTGTTATGAATGTTAAGATATGTTATGTCAATTTGTCGTCTGCTAATAGACACAAAGCAACATTCCCTCCGAAAAATCATGTAATATTATTTTGTTCATGAAAAAATTACTGAACCAAATGTGGATCGTTTTAGTTTGTTTTTTTAATTTATGGTGACATACAAACTTGTCACTTGACTTCCCAGCATGTCAGTTACAAAATTTTATCAAAGCAAGGTGTATGGATATATGTTTTGCAACATGACCATTTTGTCAAACCAGTTAATGCCAATATATATTTTTTCGTTACTGATATAGTCTGAAATGACAGTTTACTGTGCATGAAACCGTATTTCTTTGAGCAGATCAGCTGAGCAAATGTGCTGATTTCAGTCCATGGAAAATGTTTCAATCAATTTTTGTTATACTGCAAGCGACTAAATCAAAACACTTGAACAGGACCCTTGCATAACCATATTCTGAAAGTAAGTGGCACATGATCACTTCAGTTATATTCACTGCCTTTGTTTTTTGTGTAATGAATATATGTTACAATAATAGAAAAAACCAAGGGGCGAGGTGGGCGAGCTGGCTAAGGCGCCAGGCTAGTGATCCAGCGAGGTTGAGGTGTCGGGATCGAGCCCACCTGTGACCGGGTGTAAAAACCTTGGAGTCAGCTTTGTGTGCAGACTCTTTCAGTGTTGTCACAACCCCTAGTGTACAGTACACAACCCAGTGCACTTAAAAGAACCCATGAATCCATTGGTATATGACCAGATGGTGGCCACATGAATACGTGCAAACACCTACAGTCCGTTTGAGTCAGAAACGGACTGATGAATTGCAAATTGTATCATTGTACAAAATTGCCACATAAATATAAATAGTACACATGTTTATCATTTACTAATACCCAACAGCTTTCTTACATTTGAAAATTTTCCGGACTCCATCAAAAAAGTTGTTTAAGAAACTATCATCTTTGAAAACGCAAAAGTTGTTATCTGTCGCGGCGGGTGAAACCGCAGAAACGGAACAGCCAGTCATGGCTGGGGACATCTCAAAATCTATTCCGGGAGACCTGTTGGTTCCTCGTCTGTCGTAGTGTCATAGTCACGACTTAAAGGGATGACAAGTTGTGCCACTGTTGCCTGTTGTAAGCCATCCCGAGACCAGTAACCTTGTTCAATGACGTTAGCTACCTTGTTGACACAGTTTTGCCAAGTTTCAGTCGTGATTTTGTTAAGGGATTCCTTAACCAAAACCTCTACGTCACGTCATCTAAAAGTTGTGTTTGATCTGGCAACATCTCCTTTGACAATACCCCATATCATTTCAATGGGGTTAAGGTCACAGTGATAGGGTGGAAGTCGCAGAATATCGTGACCCTTACTTTTTATGTAACTGTCAACTTTGTAGAAAGGTTCACCTTTGTGGGTTTTTATGATCTCATATAGCTGAGGCTTCGTTGCCTTTGAAGGCCGTGCGATCTGAAATTTGTCGAGCCATGATATCATATCACCTTTCGACTGTTCGATGTCGGGGCTTTACTGTCGGGGTCCTGCACGCTGTGGTATGGGGCATTGTCCATTATGATAAAAGACTTCTCTGGTAGAGCTGGTACCAACTTGTTTTTAACCCAATCGAGGAAAACCGCACCATTCATCTCGGAATGGTAGTCTCTGTTATCTGTGGACTTTGCCCTGAATACCAAGTCGCAGCCTGGGAGAAAGCCTTTGCTGGAGCAACCAGCATGGAGAATGATTAGTCTCTCTCCTTTCCCTAGAGGCAGCTTTCTACATGACCCCTTATCACCCCCATCGAGTACCCACTGACTGCTGGCAGTGTGCGAGGCATTGACCCAGGTCTCGTCGAAGTACACTGGCTCGAACACTTCCTCGCGCTTCCTCTTTATCACCCTGAGAACATTTTTTCTCAAGCGAACGATATCAGGGCGTTCACAGAGTACTGACCTATTCTCCCCTGAAATTTTCTTATAACGATACCCGAAAGAGTGTAAGAGTCGCCAGAGTGTGTACTTTGATACTCTGAGGTTGTGTTCTTGCTTCAAATGCTTTTTTAAAATTTTCAGCGACATGTATTTGTTTTCAGAATAGAGCTTGTTGATAGACTGCCTTACAAGGTTCTTTTGAAAGTTGTCCAAATGTTTTAATTTGTGTGATTTTGACTCGACCCATACCTGCTTCGCATCACCCTCACAATGTTTGTGTTCCAGAACATTTGTCACTACCCTTGCTGATACTCCTAAAGCTTTGGCTGCCCGCTTACGGAATTTATTAATGGCATAAAATGGTTTGCCCCTTTCGGCTTCAGCACGGAAAAAATCGTACACTTTAATCATCAACTGTTTCACGTCAGCATTCAACTTCATTTTTCATCAGGCATGTGTATCCCGTGCACGACAAGATAGTGGCTGTTCCGTTTCTGCAGTTTCACCCCGCCGCGACAGATAACAACTTTTGCGTTTTCAATGATGATAGTTTCATAAACAACTTTTTGGTGGAGTCCGGAACATTTTCAAATATAAGAAAGCTGTTGGGTATTAGTAAATGATAAACATGTGTACTATTTATATTTATGTGGCAATTTTGTACAATGATAAAATTTGCAATTCATCAGTCCGTTTCTGACTCAAACGGACTGTAGTTGCAGGTACAGCAACGTGCAGTGAACGTGGACAAAGTACTGTGACTATGTGTCCCAGGCCACCCAGGTGTGAATGGGTACATCATTAGGATGAGAAAGCCACAATAACTTGGTGCACCTAGTGGCTGCAAGAGTTGTATACTCCCCAGGGAGTTGAGATTGATAATACGATGTGCCATTAAGATTGTCATCCAATGATCGAGGGAAAAAATATCAGCACCTTGAGCAAGCACTAGTTGCGTGGATATGTGCGTTATATGAATACATATCCTATCCTAATATCAGCTAATGGAAACAAATCAGCCTCATTTCAAAGCATCAGTCTGTGCTTATCCATAACAATAATGCTATTTAATAATTTATGCATTTTGTACGATAACTTTCTACAAAATTCATGTTTTCAGAACTTACTGAACTAAATGTGCATCTTTTTTTCTTTTTTCTTTTTTATTGTGATAGCAAGTGATACAATATTCATACAGTTGGATAATACACACAACACATATAGTCAAGCTGCAGGATAAGTGAGAGACGAGCATGATTTATGGGTGTATGAATAAAGTACAAAGAAAGAGGTATAGGGATATAGGAAAGTAAGAAAATAGAGGAGAGAAAGGATGGTATTATCAAGCATTGGTTTGCGTCCGTCTATATTAGTATAGGGGCCCATTTTTCTGCAAATTTGGTCTTGTCTCCAGAAATGAATTTCTCTATGTTGTGATTATATTTTATTAGCGGTAATAATTGGGTAAATATGGGAATAGTCTTATTGTAATGACAATTTTGAATGTAACGCTTGGTTATTATGAAAAGGTGGTTTTCAAGGATACTCAACTTTGAATCGCCAAGAAGGAAATTATTCATATTTAAGTCTAATTTTGAATTGGTTCTACTTTCATACCAAACTTTGAACTCATTTTTCATAGTTTGAATTTTTTGACAGGAAAAAAATAAATGTTCTAGTGTTTCACTTTCTGATTGGCAAAATGTACAAAGGTTATCCTCTATCAGTCCTATTTTGTAAAGAAATGATTTTGATGGTATGATACGATGGATGAGTTTATATTGGAAGTTACGTGTCTTGCTGTCCTCAACACAAGTTTGTATTGTATTAAAACATTGGGACAGGTAAGTTTCTGATATATGTGCATCCAACTTTAAGTTCCATTTAGAAGTAAGATCTTGAAGAGAACAATTACCCTCATCATTACGAATCAGTTTATAGATAAATTTACACTAAATGTGTATCATGATGTTTTATAATTTTGCTTACATGAACTAACCATGTGACTCCTCTGCATTTCAGTTATATGTTTATATAAGCAAGATGCATATCTGGTGTATTGATAGATATTTGGTTACAACATTGTACAAGGGTCCGCATGGCCACTTATCAAATGTAGGTTATTGCCGATGTGACGATAAATATGAACTCACTCATTCACTCACACTCAAATGTAGGGCAAATGTTTTCCCCCTGAAATGAAACTGAGCATTAGTAAATGACTCGCAGTCATATGTAACATAGTGTAGGCAATAACTGGAGGCAGGACTTGTTCACAAAAGTGAGTGGTGTACAAGCTCTAAGCTGTTGCAGGGTTCGAAATACCCCATATGTTAGTGTACCATGACACGGTAAATATTGAAATGGCACGAATAAAAAATGTCCTCGGTGCCCTTATGGCATGCCTAATTTTTTAGAGACATTACTAACCTTTAGTCATTTAATCCCCAAAACAAAACACTTGCGCAAATGACAAACAAGCAAAAATATTTATTGACTTTATCGCCCAGGAAATCACTGGAATTTTGATGGACGATGTAAAGAAATCTGGTTGTTTTTCCATTTAGAGTGATGGGAGTACTGATAGTTCGGTTATTGAAGAGGAAAATGTGTATTTTAGCAGTATTGAACAAGTGAACCTGTCACAAAATTCTTAGCTATAAAGGTGTTGGGAAAGCAGAACAAATGAAGCTTAAGAAAGCCATCTTAAACAGAAGACATATCAGTGATAACAGAAAACAGGTTACATTTGTTGTTTTCTAACAATAACTTTCAAATGATCATCATCATCATTGCTACAGTTATTTATTCTAAAAACATGTTGGCACACTTGATTTCTGAAAGGCACATTTAAAATATTTGCCTGGTGAACTAAGGCACACTTAGAATAAAAAGTATTTCTATCCCTGTGTGGACAGACTAATTCATTGATATTTTGGTACTGGCTAGTGACCAGTTATCGCTTAGTACCAGTTATCGCCAACACCTGGCTGTAGCGCTTGCACAGACAGCTTGATTTTATCTCTCGTAGCCTATCACTTGTGTGATGTGTCAATGTGAGAGTACAAGTCAAGCTGTCTGTGCAAGCGCTACAGCCAGGTGTTGGCGATAACTGGTACTAAGCGATAACTGGTCGCTAGCCAGTAGACATTTTGAAGTCTTTCAGTGTCACGTGATACAGATTTTTATATATCATTTTGCCTGTTGCTTCAGCATTTCTGAAGGTATCATTGTGAAATCTGATATGGAGCAAGTATGTGGTATGCAAAGTAACACATGACAAAAGTGGTATGCGAAATAACATATGACGTAACATATGGCATGATGATATAAACTTACTGCAGCTATGGTGCCTCTAAAACATGAATACAAAATTTCAGTCTGACTTTAAAGAATGCTACCATTATTTCTTCACAATTGATGACCCGTGAAGATCCGGGGTAGAATAGGCCTTAAGCAACCCATTCTTGTCATAAAAGGCGACTATGCTTGTCGTAAAAGGCGACTAACGGGATCGGGTGGTCAGGCTCGCTGACTTGGTTGACACATGTCATCGGTTCCCAATTACGCAGATCGATGGTCTTGCTGTTGATCACTGGATTGTCTGGTCCAGACTTGATTATTTCCAGACCACCGCCATATAGCTGGAATATTGCTGAGTGCGGCGTAAAACTAAACTCACTCACTCACTCTTCACAATTGATATTGCTGGAATATCGCTAAAAGTGGCATAAATCCATACTCACTCACTCATTCATATATCTGGAACACCCTTAGAAAGACACACTCACTCTCCAATTCACACATTCAAAATTATGGCTCTGCTTCTGGTCCAGTAATACAAGTACCTTTTTCAATTTTAATTTTAGAGAAACTTAATGGACTAGCAGGTGCTTTCAATACGAACCTTCTGCTTGAAGCAAAATGGATGAAACAGACAATGTTCAACAGCCGGAATCAAAGAACATCACTGGTCTTGTAAAAGACTTTGACAGATCAGCCTTGAAGAAGACCCAGACCAAAGTAATGACTGTTGAAGGTGTACAGATCATAGAAGAAGCGTGATGCACGAGGAAAGTTTGTGGTACACGAGGTGCGACAGCCCAATGGCCTTCTGGGATATGTAGCAGACGTGCGCCAGGATCTCCAAGTTGGAGAGGTGATGCCAGGCCTCATTGTTGGTATGTAGAATTTCAGCTCACCTCAACTGGATCCCCATTAAAGACAATACATCCTTAGTGTCCCATGCTCTTTCTTAAGAGGGGGCAGTGGGGTAGTGTAGTGGTTAAAGTGTTCACTCGTCACTAGTAGTGGTGATCCGATTAATTGAAATAATCAAAGATTGGTCGCAGTGACTAAACGACCAAGCAATCGATCATGTTTTCTCATAATCGAACACAAACAATTCTGGAACACTTGTTTTCATCAACAATATTTTTCACAAGGCTGGTTTCGTCTGTTACATTTCATAACCACTACAAGCTTGTTCCATTTCATGATTGAATTTATCTTAAAGACACCAAGAAATTTATGTTCCTAAATGTTCCTCTAAAGATGTGAAATTTGGCCCCAAAACCTCAAAATAACTACATTTTTTTCCCTTATTTTTTGTGCATTAACAAATTTCATAAATGACGCTGACCAATTATTTTCGATGATTGATCGGTGGTTATGAACCAATCATCAGTTATGAGATTTTAACCAATTCCCAACACTAGTCACTAGGGGTGAAACGGTATACCTCAGTAATAGTAGAAACGCGGTATTTTGCCTTCGGTTCGATATACCGTAATGCAATCAAAAAATTCAGTATTTTCGGTTTTGTACCGTCATTTATTTAACCTTTTGAACCTTTTCTAAAATGTCTAGAAATCAAATCATTTTGTCAAAATTTATACATTTCTTTGCAAGACGACCGTTATTTTCTCGGAAGTAAGTTCTCAAATATCCCATGGTAAGAGCGTACCGTTTCACCCCTACTCATCACGCTGAGGACCCGGGTTCGATTCCCCACATGGGTACAATGTGTGAAGCCCATTTCTGGTGTCCCCTGCCATGATATTGCTGGAATATTGCCAAAAGCGGCATGAAACCATACTCACTCACTCATCATTCTTCTACCCTCTCTTTTCAGGATCTCAAGACGTGGCCCATAACCTAGATCTGTTGAAGCAGTATAAAGTTTCCCACATTCTTAACTGTGCCACGCTTGTTGAAAACCTGTACCCCTATAAGTACAAATACAAGAACATCGAGCTGTATGACATCCCAGAGACCCCGATAATGCGACACTTCAACGAAGCGATAGATTTTATTGATGAGGGTCGTACAGCCAGTTGTGTTCTGGTGCACTGCAACGCAGGCGTGTCCCGATCGGCTACCTTTGTAATTGCCTACCTAATGAACATGCAAGGGATAACGTTTAAAGAGGCCTTCAACTTTCTGAGATCCAAGAGGCCAGCCACTTGCCCAAACCCAGGTTTTGTATCCCAGCTCAAGAAGTATGAGGAGATTTTGAAGCAAAAGAAAGAATGCAAGAAAGGTGGGAAGAGTCGTGCCCATACATCCTAGTCTGGTGGGCCCTCATGTATATTTATTTGGCATGAATCTTGTGATTATATGAGATTTATATATTATGCACATAAGACTTCAGAGCATGATGATTCAAGGTTATGTCTTATTCGGGAGTTTCTTCTATCCTTTATGGTACAACCAGTGCTTGTGTTTCTGTTGTACTTATATTCCTCATTTGGACCCTAGGAATGAAATTTGATGGGATCCATTTTTGTATTGGAATTTTCATAACCATCTGATGGCTGCATTCAGACACTAAACATGGGATGGGTTTTTTTGTGTTTAATGCCAGAGTTATTGAACCTTTTCCTGAGGAAACAGAATCCAGGATTGTACAAACTTGTGTGTTAAGCTATGTCTGCATACCTGTATGTGCTTTCTTATATCTGCATACCGGTATGTGCTTTCCTATGTCTACATACTGGTATGTGCTTTCCTATATCTGCATACCTGTATGTGCTTTCCTATATCTGCATACATGTATGTGCTTTCCTATAATTGCATACCTGTATGGGCTTACCTGTGTCTGCTTTCCTATATCTGCATACCAGTATGTGCTTTCCTATATCTGCATACCAGTATGTGCTTTCCTATAATTGCATACCTGTATGGGCTTACCTATATCTGCATAATCTGTAAACCTGTATCTGCTTATCTGAAAAAAGTGCTTACACATATCTGCTTTCATCTATCTGTATACCTATATATGTGCTTGCATGTACATGCTTACATATGTATGTCCTTACCTGTATGTACATGCTTACCTATGTATGTGCTTACCTGTATGTACATGCTTACCTATGTATGTGCTTACCTGTATGTACATGCTTACCTATGTATGTGCTTACCTGTATGTGCATGCTTACCTGTATGTACATGCTTACCTATGTATGTGCTTACCTGTATGTGCATGCTTACCTGTATGTACATGCTTACCTATGTATGTGCTTACCTGTATGCACCTGTAGTACTTACCTGTATTCTCACCATTGATAAAATGCCTGTACATACCAGTCTAAGTAAACTTAGGCTCAGTACTATTCGTTACACTGCTATACTAGCTGAGTCTAACGGCCACGTCAGCTAACCTTTGGGCGACCTATGACCGTCCAGTCAAATACGAGACGGCCAAACAGATTTAACCAATCAGACAACAGCTACTGTTTAGGGTTCAGCGGGACTTACAAAATTCAACAAACGAAAATCCGCATAAAACACAGATAGTTGACGTGCAGTACATATGCTAAGGGCTTTCTGATGACATGGTTACCATTACGTAATATTTCCGCAAGCTGACGTCCTTGAATAATGACAAAAACGCTAATTTCAGCGACTGTTTACTCACTGTTGTTGCATGTTCCATGTGCTTCACTTGGAAGCGATGGTACTGTAAATAGCATTCAGAATCGTTCGGGTACAAACTTTTTTGAGGTAAAAGTTCAAAGGGTATGTGCGAATGTCAACTTTAGCGATTTGGTAAACTATGTCCTGATTGGTCAGTTGAAAAGGTTAGCTGACGCGACCTTCTATAAGGGTTTGTTTGCCTCAGTATAAGCAGTGTAACAAATAATACTGAGCCTAAGTTTACTTGGACTGCTGTACATACTTACCTTTGTACAGGCTTACTGGTATCACACACTTGTTCCGTGCTCACCTGTATGGTAGCATTTATTTGTACTTATTTGCATCTGTGTTACCTATCCATGCTTAACTGTGAAGAAATGTACCTGTGTACCTGTTAAGATTAAAGAGTACAGAATAGATTCATTTTCCTCAGGTTGAGGTAGCATGTGATGCCACTGACATCATCGGGTCAAGGACACAACTTACTCACAGCATTAGAAATGAATCAGGTATCAAATGTGCAGTTTTTCTACGGCATTTGATGTGTAATGTTTTTTGTCTGTGATGTCAATAATTACATACATCTTGACATTTTGGAGGGGAATGATCTGTAAGAAATTTGATTTTTTTTGTTGTAGTTCATTCAGTTCCAGTAATGTGTATATTTTCCTTTTCAGTACACAGAATACAGATATTGTTTTTAGCATTATTTACTTTGATCAATAATATTACGATGATGGCCAGGTACAAATAAGCAGTGGTAGGTATCTAGAGTCACAGACCATCTTATTTTATCCAGGGTATAATATCTCTCTTCTTCTTCGTAAAAACCTGAACCCATCCAATACCATACGTTTTGTTTGAGTCAGATTTGAATGCTAAGATTGAATACTCAGCTAAGCTGGATGATGAATCAATGCAGGTTATGACAGCACTTGTAAAATAAGCGAATTGAGACACAGATCATACCCTGGATACTCGAAGTTGGTGGTAAACTTAACTTAAAGATAGTTCACTTTGAAGCATTCAGATTGTAGCTTGTATTATACAGATGACAGATAGAGACATTCACTGGTTAGACCAGTACCGTATATTACCGTAGATAAGCCAGATGTCTTGTGGTGTGGGGTCAGCTTGTGTACGTTTTACATCCAACTGCCAGATGTATTGTGGTGTGAGCTGGCCATCGCATGGGGTCGGCTTGTGTACGTTTTACATCCAACTGCCAGATGTCTTGTGGTGTGGGGTCGGCTTGTGTACGTTTTACATCCAACTGCAAGATGTCTTGTGGTGTGGGGTCGGCTTGCGAGTTGGGTGGCGGGGGGTCGGCTTATGTGCAAAACTACCATTTTGACACTGATTTCAAGGGTCAAGTTAGGGGGGGTCGGCTTATCTACGGTAATATTCGGTAACAAAATGTGGAGACTACTTGTTTCCTCTACCATTGTTTTGTGAACATGTTTGGTTAAGTTCCTTGTAACTGGCGGTGGATTGTTTCATGTGTTTATAGTTTAGTTTTCAATATTGGTTATATTGTGAGTTGTTGAATATGCTTGATCTCTGTTTGAGCCAGTTAACCATGACATATTTCATTAATCATCTGCTTATATTTTCTTTATAAGAAGGGTTGTTATTATACCTATTGCATCTTTGATTATTTTGTTTTCAAATATGTGTGTTGGTTCAGATTGTTTTAAGAGTGTGCTACTTTTGCTTCCTAAACTCTCAGATTAAGGCTGAACTTTTAGCAAGTGGTTTGGGTGACTTCTGTATGTCCAAACTCTTCAGAAAGCACTATCAGTACAAACTTTTTTCACCAAGGTATATGTTTGATGCTTTATATGTTGTTCTAAATGGAACAAGTTAGTATTTGATTATGTATTAGTTGATTTACAATATCTGTGGCCTAAAATGCAAGGTATAAGGTCAGAAGAAATTTCATATTCCACATTAATAGAGCTTCTAATGAATGACTGCGAAAAGACACAAAAAGATAGTTGGTTTGTTTTGGTTGGGGTTGGGGGGGGGGATTAGGTTGAAGTTAGACTAACAACTAGTCTCTGAAATGAACATATTTTACAGAAAAAGTCCTCAAAGTGAAAAAAATATATATATAATAAAAAGGAGCCCTGAGACTTTCTTCATTTCCTGAAGCTGTGGAAATCTAGACTTGCCACATTTTCTAAACTTGCTTGGGATTTCTTGGATATATTTGCTTCAGGGTCTGTATGAAAGACTAGGTTAAACTAGTTCAAAATTTCCTAACGAAAGTTCCAATAGTTGTGACAATAAGTTTAAAACAGAGTTAATCTTGATGAAGTGTGAGAAGTCAATTGATTTTCTGATTGTGGTTCTGATTTGTAAATCAGCCATACAGTGTTTACAGTAACTCTGTTTATAACAAGCTGTCAGATACAGCTGGGCTTGTTTGTGTTTGTGCAAGCCACTTGCTGTATGTTTCAGTCAAAATTTGTATATCAAGCTGCGTTTATACCGAACTAATGGTAGATTTGCTGTAGCCATAGTTTACTTTATATATATATATATCATTTATTTGCTCCACATGTTCTATTTACGAAATTCCAAGTATTCTTTTTGTACTAGTCAATAATTATATAATTATCTTATTACTAATATATGTTATAGTATTATTATAGTATTATATAACATGATTCTGTAACTCTACAATACTCATTGTATATTGGATTGGAGTGGCCTTGTAAACACAAGTACAGCATGCCAGTGGTGATTGTGTCAACATGAATACTTTAGTACTTGTATCTCCTTTCTCCATACTGTCATACTGGAGAGATGACAGCATTAATGCTTAAATACTTGTATCTCCTCTCTAATGTCTCCATACTTGTATCTCCTATCTCATACCAGAGAGATGACAACATGAATACTTTAATACTTGTATCTCCTATCTCCATAATGTCATACCAGAGAGATGACAACATGAATACTTTAAGTACTTGTATCTCCTATCTCCATAATGTCATACCAGAGAGATGACAACATGAATACTTTAATACTTGTATCTCCTATCTCCATAATGTCATACTGGAGAGATGACAACATGAATACTTTAATACTTGTATCTCCTATCTCCATAATGTCATACCAGGAGATGATACATGAAGAATACTGATCTCCTATCTCCATAATGTCATACTGGAGAGATGACAGAATGAATGCTTTAATACTTGTATCTCCTATCTCCATAATGTCATACTGGAGAGATGACAACATGAATACTTTAGAGATGACACTTGTCCTATCTCTCTATCTCCATATCTCCTATCTCCATAATGTCATACTGGAGATGACAGCATTAATGCTTAAATACTTGTATCTCTCCCATATCTCCATAATGTCATACTGGAGAGATGACAACATGAATACTTTAATACTTGTATCTCCTATCTCCATACCGTCATACTGGAGAGATGATCATCTCCATAATGTCATGAATGACTTTAATGCTTAAATACTTGTATCTCCTATCTCCATAATGTCATACTGGAGAGATGACAACATGAATACTTTAATACTTGTATCTCCTATCTCCATATCTCCATGTGTCATACTGGAGAGATGACAACATGAATACTTTAATACTTGTATCTCCTATCTCCATAATGTCATACTGGAGATGACAACAACATGAATACTTTATGTACTTGTATCTCCTATCTCCATAATGTCATACTGGAGAGATGACAACATGAATACTTTAATACTTGTATCTCCTATCTCCATAATGTCATACTGGAGAGATGACAACATGAATACTTTAATACTTGTATCTCCTATCTCCATAATGTCATACTGGAGAGATGACAACATGAATACTTTAATACTTGTATCTCCTATCTCCATAATGTCATACTGGAGAGATGACAACATGAATACTTTAATACTTGTATCTCCTATCTCCATAATCTCCTATCTCCATAATGTCACACTGAGAGATGACAACATGAATACTTTAATACTTGACAACATATCTCCTTGTATCTCCTATCTTCATAATGTCATACTGGAGAGATGACAACATGAATACTTTAATACTTGTATCTCCTATCTCCATAATGTCATACTGGAGAGATGACAACATGAATACTTTAATACTTATATCTCCTATCTTCATAATGTCATACTGGAGAGATGGCAACATGAATACTTTAATACTTGTATCTCCTATCTCCATAATGTCACACTGGAGAGATGACAGAATGACACAGTCTTGGTGCTTTTGTTGTCTCCATAATGTCAGAAGATGACAGAATGTGAAGCATAATGGTGCAAGGGTCAAGGCTGTTCCTGAATCCTCTGGACCAGGTGACAATCTTGTAACAAAAACCACATTTTGTCAGGTCAAAGAGGAGGAAAGAATGAATGAAAGAAAGAAACGACAATTGAAGTTTTCAATAGAAATGATTCTGAGGTTCACAACGACACTCATGTTTTATTGTAATATATTGAACAGTATTAAGTTGGTATGGTCGACAAAGCAGAAATGAACAATCCGGTTACCAGCTTTATTTTATTTGGTTTACAGATATTTTGTGAAACATTCTGAAGGTATGAAGGTACTTGGAGAAGAAATACAGATAATTTAGATGTCTTTCGTTGTTCCTCTTCAAAAATGTATGAGAAAAGGTTTCAGTGTGATCAGTGTCAGATAAAAGTTGTCTTTTAAGTCATATAGTTTACTGTATTCACATTTTGTTTATTGTAAACATATAAATAGCAGCATCCGTAATACCAATATATACTCATGGAAACAAATAAGGGAACACCTGAAAGTACAAGAGTTCCTTTATTCTATTCCAGAATTTCACCCACAGTGCACTACAAAGCTTGTGAAGAAACCCAGAAAAGAATAAAGGAACACTTGTACTTTCAGGTGTTCCCTTATTTGTTTCCATGAGTATATATAAACATCGCACCTTTAATGAGGTTCATGAAATATAAGTAGACAATGAACGATTTCTTTTCCAAGACTGTGATTGTTTTATTGTGATACACTTTATTATTTTCCAAGTTAGACGTTGTTTAGTCAAGACACTTTGCTCACTGATGTAAATAGAATCTACCAAAGTTTATTGGTCACATGCTCCAGTTTTTCTAGCTCCAATCAGCTGTTTTACTGTAATACAGGGAGGTAAGGCAACACTACCTAGATTCTATGATAGCCATTTTTAGCACACATCCCAACCCTTGAAGTTATCAGCTGGCAATAATAATTATTTCAGATCATATTTGTCATTTACCGATACTTTTATGCCAGGTTTATTGAGTCATATAGGATGATGATGATGATTACAGTAATACTTGTGTACATTGGACAGTTTCCCTTTTTTCACTTACATGTTAATTTTTCTTTGAACTAGCTCAAAGTAATGAGTTAGAAATATTTAATTGTCAGATTTGATTTAAGGCCATTGTTAAGGCCATTGTGAATATTTCAAATTTTACAACCCATTCACTTCATATCAAAACCCATCTTTCTCAACCATGACATTTGTTTCTTCCCAATCGCCTTGCATGTAACAAGTAGGTTGAAGGTGATCATACCTAAAAGGGAAATGCCTTAATTATGGATGAAAGTCTAAGGGACCGTTCATAATCTATGGCTAGGGGGGGGTGATGATGATTTTAAGGGGAGTCACCCATTTTGTTCTGGGGAGCTAGTGGGTCAGCAAATTTGTACACACGTACTAGAGGGGGTCAGCAATTTTGTACATAAAAATATGTTTAAAATTATGCTTAAAAATTATGGGAAGGGGGGGGTCATTGATTTTGTACATGACATGCAGGGGGGTCACTTATTTTGTACATAAATTTTAGGGGGGTCATTCACATTGTACATGCTTCTCCATAAAAATCATCCTCACCCACCCTAGCCATAAATTATGAACGGTCCCTAATGAATATGTAATTGTGGCCTCCTTGTACTCAACATTGATGACACAATGAAGGAGAAACCAAAATTTTCATCATTCAATGGTACAATTATTGCTGAAAATAATGTCATCCGTACCATGAATTCCTGAAAACAACACCAATGGGATTATATGAGCCTGAAAATGAGATCACATAAATATGTACATATCCTTGAAAGTGAGATCACATATGTACCAGTATGTATAGATCCTTTAAAAGTGAGATCACAGTGAGACCAATGGTTGTAGCAAAGAGGTGTCAGTATCGAGTGAATATATTAACTGTAGTTGTATATAAAACAAACATGTTATTATGTTTTCCCCTACTTTTAGGAAAACCGATATGAGATGTCATAAAGTGTTTGCTGTAGAAAGAGCTCACTGAACACAACCATGCAGCTACTAGTAGTCACATATCCAACATTGTATTTTTGTCTACTTATTCAACTCTTTTTTTATATTTACATATTAGTTTTAGTTTGTTAAAAACATATAGTGAGAACATATAACTCTGTATCTGGTTTCAGACTCTCGTTTAATGTGCGGGATGTTTACTTCTGTTACACCATACTGTAAATTGTAGTCAAAGACTTCGGCCTCTATATTATGGCCCTGGAATGTGTATAATATGCATTTTGATCAGTTACCAAGTTAATAGCTTCCTTCATTTTGAATCAGTTTTGTGTTTGTATCTTTTTGTGTTAATCTAAAAAAATACAGTTTGGTTCAAATAGAAAATACGTTTTCACTTTTGATTTCATTTTCTAATCATCGATTTTAGCCCTGGCCATTTGAACCCATAAATCTTAAAAATGAATGTGTACCCTTACCCCATGAATGTACCTTAAGAGAGTGAAATGTAGCATGCCAAGTATTTTCACTTTATTTCAGAAATAAAAGTAAACGCAAATAATTTTCTGATACAAACTGTCAGTTTCAAATATTTGCAAAGGCTGCTACTATTTGCTGATCATACAATGAATGCAACGATTATTGTGCATTAATCATGTTAATCATTGTTCCAGTTCTCACCAACGATTAGCACATTTTAGTGGTGAGAGCTAGATTGATTTTCAATGTGAGATGAAATGAATTTGTGAATATGTTGATCTCCTAGTTCTTTGAGAAATACTGAAGCATATTCTACATAGATCTGTTTAGTCTATTGTTGTTCATAAACAGAATGGTATTTAATCCAATAATAGTATACTGATTTTATTACTTCCATATCTTTACTCCAGTTTCGAAATTTACAATATTTATTAAAGCATTTTACACATTGCTCAAATGTATTGAAATATCCAAATTTTGATAATTTGATATTTATTCAAGTGTACATAATATTGTTATGTAAATACACCCTTACTTTGGAACAGTGTACATATTTATGTAGTGTATTATATTACATACATGTTCCTACTTTTAGATTGAATTTACAATAGTGTATTAGTGCATATTGTACAACACTGATTATAATTCAATTATTTATGGTGCAATGCAAGGTTGAAAATTGAATTATGAAATTTCAACATTCTGTTTGTTAAAATGGGTTGAAGTATTCTTTGGTCATGCTGGTAGTATATTAAATTTTATAAAGATTTGTGAACAGTGTTTGGCCATGGATTTTTTGTGTACAGTAAATCTATATGATTGTCCAAAAATGATAGGAATTTCTACCAATGTTCAATAAGGGGTGGGGTAGCCTTGAGGTTAAGGTGTTCACAATTATTCCATTCCACAAGGGGTTACAAAGTGTCAAGCCCATTGTTGCTGTTCCTGGCAAAGATATTGACTAAATTATTAAATATTGCTAAAAGCAACATAAAACCATACTCTTTCCAGTGTACACTGACATAGAAACTTTTACATTAAAGCATAGGGCGGAATACGGAGTATTACAACTGTAAATTATAAATATATTTTTATGCCATGTTTTTGATGAATGAATGTTTGATTGTCATATGTTTCGATTAATAAACAAGTATTGGGAATTTACAACATTTGATCCTTCCCTATACAGTACATAGTTGAGACTGTTTCTACTATGAATTTTCAGTTCATGATTTGGAACAAATGCTATATCTTTAAAACCAGATATCTTTACATTGTGAATTGTAAAGGTCATGCTTTGGAAATACTTTACCCATGTAGAACACAGAAATGAAGAATATTGACGTGTGCATTGCAAGGTCTTTGAAAGATGTTACTGTCAGGTTTATTCACTTATATAGCAGGGTGGGAGCATGCATGCGTTCAGCTCTTTGTATTGGTTCTGACATATGCCAGTTCTATAAGCTGTCACACTGCAGTTTAACAAGAGGGTGGTTTGTGATCATGAGATCTAGAGCTGTGGTTTGTGTGATCAGATATGTGATTTGTGATCAAACAATGTGTGTTGTTCGTGATCTTGAGGTGTAGAGCTGTGGTTTGTGGCCATAAGACAAGTGTTGTTCGTGATCTTAGGGTCTAGAGCTGTGGCTTGTGTGATCATCAGATATGTTATTTGTGGTCATGAGGTCTAGAGCTGTGGTTTGTAACCATTACAAAGGTGTGGCTTGTGAACACAAGACAAGTGTTGTTCGTGATCTTAGGGTCTAGAGCTGTGGCTTGTGTGATCATCAGATATGTTGTTTGTGATCATAACACAGGTATTATTTGTGATCATGAGGTCTAGAGCTGTGGTTTGTGACCATTACAAAGGTGTGGCTTGTGAACACAAGACAAGTGTTGTTCGTGATCTTAGGGTCTAGAGCTGTGGCTTGTGTGATCATCAGATATGTTGTTTGTGATCATTACACAGGTATTATTTGTGATCATGAGGTCTAGAGCTGTGGTTTGTGACCATTACAAAGGTGTGGCTTGTGATCACAAGACAAGTGTTGTTCCTGATTGTGAGGGGCACGGGGGTGGTTAAAACATTCGCTTGTCACAACTAAAGTTCAATTCCGTTATTGGTACAATGTTTGAAGCCCATTTCTAGTGTCCCCTGCCGTCACGTGACATTGCTGAAACATTTCAAATAGTGGTGTAAAACCTGACTCACTAACTCATGATCATAAGGTTCAGAGGTGTGGTTTATGATCACATGACAAGCTAGACTTAAGATGATAAAGTGTGGTTTCTGACAGTGACAGAAATGGTTTAGAAATATGTAGATATGCAATATAAGTAACTTAAATAATGGTGGGAATAAATTAAAATCTTGACATAATTGATTAATTAGAAAATTCTTTACAATGAACATTTGACCATGCATGGAAATATTTCACTGTGTACCACGACTATGTTGGTTAACCTATTCTCATGCTGTTACTTCCAGACACATGTAATATAACACAGTGAATATATCACATAGATGAGAGGTTAAAACATACTGCTACATAGAATAAAGTTTTTTGCATGCAGATGGTGTTTATTATTGTATTTTTCCTGTAGTGAGCTCACTACAACCTATCACTCATATTCCAGCTTTATCAGCCTGTGCTTCAGTCTGATGGAATCTGATCCAGGTAAGGTGATGCTCGACAACAAGAGCAGTGGTCCAGGTTGTCAAGAAGAAGGATGCACAATGAGTCGGTTCGCTTTGTGGAATGAGGTGTGGTGAAATGGGGTTTAACGTCACACTTAAGAATATTTGTATGTGTGGCTGCTTGTAGTAGCTGAGACCTAAGCTAGTTTTTTAGTGCTAGCTCACTAAGATACCATGCTGCAGTTAAGCATGAATATCCACTCAGACACTTTAAGCATGACCCTCTCAGACGTACATTAAACTGACTCGGAGCTGACCAGTCCTTGTTGTACCCATTAATACCAAGCGTCAGACAGGGAGTGAGTGAGTTGAGTTTTACGCCGCACTCATCAATATTCCAGCTATATGGCAGCGGTCTGTAAATAATTGGATCTGGACCAGACAATCCAGGGATCAACAGCATGAACATCGATCTACGCAATTGGGAAGCGATGACATGCGTCAACCCAGTCACGACAACTACCATATTTTAACGTCTTTTGGTATGACGCAGGCGGGGATTGAACCTGCAACCTTCCACTCTACGGGCGGACACTCTAACCACTACATCACGGAGGCGGATGCTCTAACCACTACATCACGGAGGTGGACGCTCAAACCACTACATCATGGAGGCAGACGCTCTAACCACTACATGACGGAGGCGGACGCTCTAACCACTACATCATGGAGGCAGACGCTCTAACCACTACATGACGGAGGCGGACGCTCTAACCACTACATCACGGAGGCGGACGCTCTAACCACTACATCACGGAGGTGGACGCTCTAACCACTACATCACGGAGGCGGTCTGTGTAGAATGCGGCCCAGGACCAGTGCCATTATAGAGCCACCTCATATAGACCATGGTTTATTAAGGATACCCCACTCAGACAAGGTATATAAACAGATTATATGACATCACTCTGTAAGTATAAATATTCCATCTATAGACCAGACGATCAAGTGATTGACATGAGTACTGATCTGTGCAATTAGAATGGGATGGCCTGCAATCAACTATGTGAGCAAACCACTTCAGCATGGAGTGTCAACTAACACCTCATCTATCCTACCACACAAACACAGATGCAGCTTACTAGGAGGTGTTTCTTGGTCTTAGGATAGCCCTCCAGAATAGCACAATGAGCCTGGTCACAAGATGCCATCTCTTTGGCAGAAGTTAACATTTAGGAGATAAACATCATGTGTTGGCTAATTTCCGGGTGTTATTGAGTATGTGAAGCACGGGTATGGACAATTCATTTGGAACCGATAAACATCTTCATCTCTTCACATTCAGCCAACTTTGAAAGAGTAAGGTATTTCCTGTTGGCTCCAGTTATATATCTGAAGTTTATTTCAGTTTGTAGGCCATCAGCCCATGTACAATATAAGTTGTTCACAGGTCACGAGGGGTATGGGTTGATGTACCCTCGATGTTTGTATATGTTCCCTGAGCCTTTGGGAACATATACAAACATCAAGGGTACATCAACCCATGGGCCCCGAGGGACCAGTGAACAACATATTTATCTTACCGAACACCTTAATGTTAATTTTGAATGGTTTGAAGCACGGGTACAAATCTTTTTGTAGCCATCGCTAGATTTTGCTGACAAGAAAAACAGATTTAGAGTTATCTCCCTTCCATCGATTTGCATTCGCAAAACATCAGTAATTTCCGAACATCATGTACGTGATTCAATGTTATTCGAGATAAAGAATTACTACCACGAAGTACCAAATGAGTTGCCATTGACAGCGGGGTACATTGAAATGTTACTCACTGTAAGCGGGGTACATTGAAAATAATAGAAGAGCGCTCAGCCAATCAGAAAGCGTCATTTATGTGTGAGGTAAGATAAAAAGCAATATAAATGATATTGTACATAATGGCAATAGGCAGACATTTGTGTTGTCAATATATAGAAGATCGACATTTAAGACATGATTTGATAAATTTAGCACAATTCAATAAAAGTACCATGTCATTAGAAGTCATTAACTTTACGAATTTACAAGCATTTGTTAAATTATTCCATAGAGGTAAATAAGTTGTTCGTAGTGTTACATATTTATCACATTCAAATAGGAAGTGGACTTCATCTGCATTTCATTCATTTGGCGACCGCCTCCGTGGTGTAGTGGTTAGAGTGTCCGCCCGGTGAGCGGAAGGTCGCGGGTTCGATCCCCGACCGCGTCATACCAAAAGACGTTAAAATATGGTACTTGTTGGTCCCTGCCTGGCTCTCGGCATTAATGGGTACAAGAAGAACTGGTTGGCTCGGAGTCAGTATACTGTGTCTGAGTGGGGTATTCATGCTTCACTGCGGCATGGTATCACAGTGAGCTAGCACTATAAAACCAGCTTAAGTCTGGGCTAGTACAAGCAGCCGCACATACACATACACACGCATGCACGTCGTCATATGAGCGAAATATTCTCAAGCCCGACGTTAAAACCAATTTCACCTCACCTCACCTCATTCATTTGGCTCAGTTAGAACAGCAACAAGGGTTCAGAAAAACAAACGAGATCAGAGAGTTTGTCAAATTTTCAGGAATTGTATTTCAAGACAACATAATTTGTGTAACGTACACAAGAATCTTCACAGGCTATTTATCATATATGTGAGTTTATTCAATGTGCTATATACAAAAATTACATTACCATTATGAACAGAAACAAAACAACAATGTAGTCATGGCGAGCTCCGTTCACCACATTCTTTTCCATCTCACACAGAAGAATACAAGTACTGTAGCAATTACACTTAAGCGTAATAATCCTTAATTTCATTCCCCACCTGCCTCACTACAACTACTTCACCTCAGATCACCACTATATATCATCCCAAGTTACTAGTGGTGGTCCGATTAATTGAAATAATCGAAGATTGGTCGCAATGACAAAACGAACAAGCAATCGATCATGTTTTCTCATAATCGAACACAAACAATTTTGGACCACTTGTTCAGCAATAACAATATTTTTCAAAAGGTTGATTTGTCTCGACATTGCATAAGCACTACAAGCTCGTTCCAAGTCATGATTAAGTTTATCTTAACAACTCCAGGAAATGTATGTTCCTAACACACTAGTCATCCTTAAAAGATGTGAAATTTGCAATTGCATTTTGTGCAATTTGTGAAAAAAAACGAGAGAACTACATGTTTTTTCTTTATTTTTTGTGCATTAACAAACATAACCAGGAAAATTTGATAAATGACGCTAACCAATTATTTTCGATGATTGATCGGTTGTAATGAACCAATCATCAATTATGAGATTTACACCAATTCCCAACACTACAAGTTACTACATACCATTGGGTAGCCTAGTGGTTAAAGTGTTCACTCCTCAAGCCGAAGACCCGGGTTCGATTCCCCACCTGCCTCACTACAACCACTTCACCTCAGATCACCACTATATATCATCCCAAGTTACTACATACCATGGGGTAGCCTAGTGGTTAAAGTGTTCACTCCTCAAGCCGAAGACCCGGGTTCGATTCCCCACCTTCCACACTACAACCACTTCACCTCTGATCACCACTATATCATCCCAAGTTACTACATACCATGGGGTAGCCTAGTGGTTAAAGTGTTCACTCCTCAAGCCGAAGACCCGGGTTCGATTCCCCACCTTCCACACTACAACCACTTCACCTCTGATCACCACTATATCATCCAAAGTTACTACATACCATGGGGTAGCCTAGTGGTTAAAGTGTTCACTCCTCAAGCCGAAGACCCGGGTTCGATTCCCCACCTTCCACACTACAACCACTTCACCTCTGATCACCACTATATCATCCCAAGTTACTACATACCATGGGGTAGCCTAGTGGTTAAAGTGTTCACTCCTCAAGCCGAAGACCCGGGTTCGATTCCCCATCTGCCTCACTATAACCACTTCACCTCAGATCACCACTATATATCATCCCAAGTTACTACATACCATGGGGTAGCCTAGTGGTTAAAGTGTTCACTCCTCAAGCCGAGGACCCGGGTTCGATTCCCCACCTGCCTCACTACAACCACTTCACCTCAGATCACCACTATATCATCCCAAGTTACTACATACCATGGGGTAGCCTAGTGGTTAAAGTGTTCACTCCTCAAGCCGAAGACCCGGGTTCGATTCCCCATCTGCCTCACTATAACCACTTCACCTCAGATCACCACTATATATCATCCCAAGTTACTACATACCATGGGGTAGCCTAATGGTTAAAGTGTTCACTCCTCAAGCCGAAGACCCGGGTTCGATTCCCCATCTGCCTCACTATAACCACTTCACCTCAGATCACCACTATATCATCCAAAGTTACTACATACCATGGGGTAGCCTAGTGGTTAAAGTGTTCACTCCTCAAGCCGAGGACCCGGGTTCGATTCCCCATCTGCCTCACTATAACCACTTCACCTCAGATCACCACTATATCATCCCAAGTTACTACATACCATGGGGTAGCCTAGTGGTTAAAGTGTTCACTCCTCAAGCCGAAGACCCGGGTTCGATTCCCTACATGGGCACAAGGTGTGTAGCCCATTTCTGGTGTTTCCCGCTGTGATATTGCTGGAATATTGCTAAAAGCTGCTTAAAATAATCTCACTCACTCGCATGGTGTAAGCCACTCTGTGATCCATTGACCAGGGTAATAACAAAGAGGCTCCATCAGCTTTGGTTTGGTTGTTGTTTAATGCCTCATTCCAGCTATATGGCGGCGGTCTGTAAATAACTGAGTCTGGACCAGACAATCCAATGATCAACAGCATGAGCATGGATCTACACAATTAGGATACAATGACATGTGTCAACCAAGTCAGCGAGCCTGACAACCCAATCCTGTTAGTCGTCTCTTACAACAAGCATGGGTTGCTGAAGACCAATTCTAACCCGGATCTTTACGGATAACTCCCTCAGCATTCATGTGAGTTTAATTTGGAGCATTAAAGGGACGTTTTTGTTGCTAATGATAAAAATAATAATAATTCACAGTGTAATAAAATAAACAATGTATTTCATGTGATGATTCTTAACAGTTTCATAACTGCTTTGCAATGCTTCCTTATTACAACAAGTGTACAGACATTAGTTTGGTGTAAACATTTTTTCCATTGTATCTGTTTCTGTAAGGCTGTAGGTTCTGTAGGCCTAGAAGTACCATCAGTCTTAGCACTAGATGTTGAGTGACAAAGCTACCTGGTAACGCACATCAGATGTCTGGAGGTTTGACACTGTAGTCCTCGTCCGTCTCCAGGCCGATCTCCTCCTGGGAAACATACAGAAGCATCAGGTGGAAATTTCAAATAAGATTAACTACTGTGTTCGAGATGTATAGTATATATGTGTGAGCTGGTTGTACTGGTCTGGGCTCTGTTCTACAAAGCAGGGCTCGATTTAAGAGATGTTAACTTACTTGCACTGGGTGCAACCTAAGATAAAAACCTACTTACACCAGCCCAATTATATTATTATATCATATGATATTTATATAGCGCACATATCCACGTTACTAGTACATGCTCAAGGCGCTGGTATTTCCCTCGATCACTGGATGTCAATCTCAACGGCACATCGTATTATCAATCTCAACTCCACAGGGAGTATACAACTCTTGCAGCCACTAGGCGCACCGAGTTTTACGGCTTTCTCATCCAAACGAGGTTCCAGTTACACTGCTTTTATTGGAATATGTAATGAAAGAAATATGCTATTGAATTATTCAGAGGTTTACCCACTCAAAAATTGACTTCCACCTGGTGCAAGTTAGACTAATAACAAGGTTGCACTTTGTAATATTAGGTTGCACCAGTGCAAGCAACAAAGCACTAAATCAAGCCCTGACAAAGTGATCATAAATACTATACTTAGTAAGAGTTCCTTACATAACCCCCACCTAATTTTTTTCAAAAAATACAAAGATATACAAGTAATGAAAAGTACCTTATAAAAAAGGCGGGGGGTAAGTAGGGAACTCTTTCCCTTTACTTTAGTAAAGCCTTATGACAGTTGTTGCGCTACGATTGCTTCGTGGAATGGGAGTCAGGACTAGTGCCATCCCACATAGATACCATGCCACATAGATACCATACCACATAAATACCATGCCACATAGATACCATGCCACACAGATACCATGCCACACAGATACCATACCACACAGATACCATGCCACATAGATACCATGCCATAGATACCATGCCACATAGATACCATGCCACATAGATACCATGCCACAGATACCATGCCACACAGATACCATGCCACATAGATACCATACCACATAGATACCATGCCACATAGATACCATGCCATAGATACCATGCCACATAGATACCATACCACATAGATACCATGCCACATAGATACCATACCACATAGATACCATGCCACATAGATACCATGCCACATAGATACCATGCCACATAGATACCATACCACATAGATACCATGCCACATAGATACCATGCCACATAGATACCATACCACATAGATACCATGCCACATAGATACCATGCCACATAGATACCATGCCACATAGATACCATACCACATAGATACCATGCCACATAGATACCATGCCACATAGATACCATACCACATGGATACCATGCCACATAGATACCATGCCACATAGATACCATGCCACATAGATACCATACCACATAGATACCATACCACATAGATACCATGCCACACTTTATCAAGAAACACTTTATATGACGGGGAAGGATAACAAGATATGGATGAACAACTTCTTCAGGGGTTCAGATTTTTTTTTTAAAAAGCCACTTGCCACAGGGCAAGTGACTTTAAAACAGTAACTTGTCCTGACTAATTTTCTACTTGCCCTGATTTTATGACATAATTATGATGATGTAATTATGAAAGAAGAAATCAACATGGTATTTGATGTTAATGTTTACTGGACTATTTATTGAAAAGTGATAAATAGCAAAGAAAGATAACTCTACTTTATTGTCATTGCGAAATGTAATAGCTACATTTTGAGCAGATATGAAATTAAATCCAAGTTTGTTTGCGGTTTGAAACCATAAGTGGAAATTATCTAGTAGCCCACGGACAAGTAAGATACCATTATTTGATTGCCCGAAATGAAAACTGACTTGTCCCGGGCGTCGGGCGATGGGATTTTTGAACCCCTGTTCTTCATTACAGTGAGAGTGACATTTCGGTGTGGGTTCTATCTCCGTTATCAAGCAAGTTGTTCATCCATATATTGTTATCCTTCCATAGTGCTCCAGCTTCTAAATGCCTTTCAAACAAGTCACTTTATATGACATTACTCTGTAAGTATAAATATGAGTCCCCGAGTATGGTTTTATGCCGCTTTTAGCAATATTCCAGCAATATCACGACAGGGGACACCAGAAATGGACTTCACATAATGTACCCATGTTGGGAATCGAACACGGTCTAAGGCGTGACAAGCAGACGCTTTAACCACTTGGATATGGTGACCTGCATCTCAACTTTGTAAGCAAGCCTGATGAACCACTTCAGCATGGTGAGTCAACTTACACAAAAACCAACTAACACCTGATCTCTCCAACCATGAACACATATACAACTTACCACGAGGTGTTTCTTGGTCTTAGGATAGCCCTCCAGAATAGCATTGATGATGTCTGTGCTCTAAGAAGGTAAACAAGGAACAATACAGGACCAAAATTGCGAATAATCGAAAATATATAATATAGACCAGTGTAATGCATTCTCGCTAAATCTAAAAAAAACAAAATATAATAATACACAAAACATAACACCTCAGCACCCCGTAATACAAATAAATATGAGCGTATTAGTGAAAAAAGAAAAATATTTCAAACTGGTGCTTGCAAAAAAATTGCGCATCCTCCGGTATACAACTACTGGAAACTCTCAACATTGTTGGGCTTATGCAATGACATAGCTGGTAGAGATGAAACACCAGTGAGCAGAGCTTATACGCAATCGCTGAGCTGGACAACCATGTTGCCATGCAGGCGTCATAGAGCATTGTTTCGAGAACGTGCTTTCGAACAAAATCACATTACATTACGTAAAAGGGTATTATGACATATTTTTAAAGTTTGTGGTGCTGTATTCTAAAGTTGCTCCAATTTTTGTTATATTGCAAGCAAGTCAATCAAAACACTTGAACAGGACCAGAGCTCCAGATAAGATTTAGCTCATGTGGGTACTGTACCCACTGTATTTTTTTGGAGTGGGTATTATGAATGTTGAGTGGGGATTTCATTTTCCGGTACCCACTGCTATCAAACATGTGCGTATTTCAGTCATTTTACTCACCTAAGTATTATGTGACTGAGTAAGTTTACTAAGCAGGTATGTTCTGCCTTATGACTATGTCATACCTAATCAATACCAACTTAAATATAATGGAAATGAGTTCATAAAAAATCACTCATCCTAAATGGACAATACAGCACTTGTCCTATACTAACAGTACAACTTGATAGCAATCGATGTCTTTTTCATTACGCAAGTGATTTTTATAAACATATTCTGTACGCATTTGTTTTAAACTTTTTGCGTATCTCACATTTTAAATGCGTAATTGGTACGCAACAATTATTTTTCAATGCGTAATTGGAAATATTATATGCATATTTTACCCGGATACGCAGCTTATCTGGGCCTCTGACTTGCTGTCAATAGTGTCGCTTTATCCCATTATCCATTTTCTAATAACATAACTCAGCTATTTGAAGTAAGGTGAGGTAGGCTGCAGTGGCAAGTATCAGCAATTGCTCTTTGAAAGAGTCTCAGCAACAGCAATTTAACAGGTCTTAAGCAACAGCCAACAATGTCTCTGTAAAAACATCTAGAAAAGCCTCAGTAACTGACCCGTGAGCAAGTTTCAGCCATGGCACTCCGTACAAATTTACGTAATCGATCATTGAACATGTCCTATTCCCTGTGGACAAGTACCATTAATGTCTCCCCTAAACCAGTATCAATATTGGTCCCCTACAGGTGTCAGCACTGGTCTCCTAAACCAGTATCAGCATTGGTTCCCTCAACCAGTATCAGCATTGGTTCCCTCAACCAGTATCAGCAATGGCCCCCTAAACTAGTATCAGCAATGGCCCCCTAAACAGGTATCAGCAATGGCCCCCTAAACCAGTATCAGCATTGGTTCCCTCAACCAGTATCAGCAATGGCCCCCTAAACTAGTATCAGCAATGGCCCCCTAAACAGGTATCAGCACTGGTACCCTAAACCAGTATCAGCAATGGCCCCCTAAACTGGTGTCAGCATTTGTCCCCTAAACCAGTATCAGCAATGGCCCCCTAAACAGGTATCAGCACTGGTACCCTAAACTAGTATCAGCAATGGTCCCCTAAACAGGTATCAGCACTGGTACCCTAAACCAGTATCAGCAATGGCCCCCTAAACTGGTGTCAGCATTTGTCCCCTAAACCAGCATCAGCAATGGTCCCCTGAACAGGTATCAGCACTGGTACCCTAAACCAGTATCAGCAATGGCCCCCTAAACTGGTGTCAGCATTTGTCCCCTAAACCAGTATCAGCAATGGCCCCCTAAACAGGTATCAGCACTGGTACCCTAAACCAGCATCAGCAATGGCCCCCTAAACTGGTGTCAGCATTTGTCCCCTAAACCAGTATCAGCAATGGCCCCCTAAACAGGTATCAGCACTGGTACCCTAAACTAGTATCAGCAATGGTCCCCTAAACAGGTATCAGCACTGGTACCCTAAACCAGTATCAGCAATGGCCCCCTAAACTGGTGTCAGCATTTGTCCCCTAAACCAGCATCAGCAATGGTCCCCTGAACAGGTATCAGCACTGGTACCCTAAACCAGTATCAGCAATGGCCCCTAAACTGGTGTCAGCATTTGTCCCTAAACCAGTATCAGCAATGGCCCCCTAAACAGGTATCAGCACTGGTACCCTAAACCAGTATCAGCAATGGCCCCTAAACTGGTGTCAGCATTTGTCCCCTAAACCAGTATCAGCAATGGCCCCTAAACAGGTATCAGCACTGGTACCCTAAACTAGTATCAGCAATGGTCCCCTAAACAGGTATCAGCACTGGTACCCTAAACCAGTATCAGCAATGGCCCCCTAAACTGGTGTCAGCATTTGTCCCCTAAACCAGTATCAGCAATGGTCCCCTGAACAGGTATCAGCACTGGTACCCTAAACCAGTATCAGCAATGGCCCCCTAAACTGGGGTCAGCATTTGTCCCCTAAACCAGTATCAGCAATGGCCCCCTAAACAGGTATCAGCACTGGTACCCTAAACCAGCATCAGCAATGGCCCCCTAAACAGGTATCAGCACTGGTCCCCTAAACCAGTATCAGCAATGGCCCCCTAAATTAGTATTAGCAATGGCACCAAAAACATATATCATTGTTGCCCTTAAACATGTATGTGCAATAGGCCAATAGGACTTTGAGTCTTATTTAGCAATTTATTATCCCTGGAACAAGACTCTGCAACAGCCCTTTGAACAAGTCTCGGCATTGATAAAAAAATATCTAACTAATGGCACAAAGAAGTACTTAAATACTTAAGTAACTAAATATATATGAGCAATGACCTCAATATGTTTCAGCAATGTTTAAGCAATGGCCTCATCCAGTCCTGGACGTGTATGTCATGCTGACTTCCAGGAGGTCACATAACACAGTACCTCATAATGTTTCGCTGTCACTATTTACTCTCTAAAGATACTCACAATCCTTTTCCTCTTCTTCCATTCCTTCACATACTTGACTCTCTCCTTATAAACCTGAGAATAAAATGAGAGTGTCAAATCAGATTTTCTAACAACAAAGAGGAATTTGGAAGTGATTGAATGGCATCCCAAGCCATTGACAAGGAAATTACATCATCTATTCCCAAGGGACACATATCCATAATTCCATAAGTCTATTACTGATTAACATTTCAACAAGATGAAATGAACAAAACTGACTACAAAGTGTCATCGCCACAGAAAAATATTACTGAAGGAACTCCCATCGTTCAGATTACATGAGGTGGCGATGGGGTAGCCTTGTGGTAAAGCATCTACTCATCCCGCCGAAGACCCGGGTTCGATTCCCCATTTGGGTACAATGTGTGAAGCCCATTTCTGGTGTTCCCCACCATGATATTGCTGGAATATTCCTAAAAGCAGCCTAAAACTAAACTCACTACAATAACATAATGTAATGAATTGTAACATCATGAGTGAGTGAGTGAGTTTAGTTTTACGCCACACTCAGCAATATCCCAGCTATATGGCCGTAAATAATCGAGTCTGGACCAGACAATCCAGTGATCAACAGCATGAGCATCGATCTGCGCAATTGGGAACCGATGACATGTGTCAACCAAGTCAGCGAAACTGACCACCCGATCCCGTTAGTCGCCTCTTACGACAAGCATAGTCGCCTTTTATGGCAAGCACATGGGTTGCTGAAGACCTATTCTACCCCGGATCTTCATGGGTCTGTAATATCATGAGTGAGTGAGTTGGGTTTTACGCCCTTTTAGCAATAACATGGCGGAGGACACCAGAAATGGGCTTCACACATTGTACCCATGTGGGAAATCAAAGCCTGGTCTTCAGCGTGACAAGAGAACACTTTCACCCCACCGTCCCTGTAACAGCCTGAACAATGGATGATGTCATCCAATATTTTCCTCAACAATGAAGCATTGTGGGGTCACAACTGATCAGCTGACCAATCAGCATTAAGAATCGCTATATGCAAATATGAAAAATCTTCCACACACACTCATTCTTCCCTAAATCCCGTGTATGGTAATATTCGACATGTATGGTCTTACCTTGTCTTTCTCCTGGGGAGTTATCAACACCTGGCCCTCCTTCAGCTTCCTCAACTTCTCCTCCAGGGACACCATCTGTAAAATATAGGAGTGGCTTATGAACCAGAGTCACAGACAAAGAACCATAGCCTTCAAAACGTGCAAAATACATACAAGTGCGAGACTACTGGACTGGGGTGTGATGGGGTAGCCTAATACACAAAGTGGCTGCTCAGCATGCTGAAGACAGGGGTTTGATTCCCAACATTCGTATAATGTGTGAAGTCCATTTCTGGTGAGCTCTGCCATAATATTGCTGGAATGTTGATATATGTGGCGTAAAACCATACTCAGGGACTCATATTTATACTTACAGAGTAATGCCATATAAAGTGACTTGTTTGAGAGGCATTTAGAAGCTGGAGCACTATGGAAGGATAACAATATATGGATGAACAACTTGCTTGATAACCGTGATAGAACCTACACCGAAATGTCGCTCTCGCTGTAATGAAGAAGTTGTTCATCCATATATTGTTATCCTTCCTATATATAGAATGGTATAGTATCTATGTGGCATGGTATCTATGTGGTATGGTATCTGTGTCGCATGTTATCTATGTGGCATGGTATCTATGTGGCATGGTATCTATGTGGCATGGTATCTATGTGGTATGGTATCTATGTGGTATGGTATCTGTGTGGTGTGGTATCTATGTGGCATGGTATCTATGTGGTATGGTATCTGTGTGGTGTGGTATCTATGTGGCATGGTATCTATGTGGCATGGTATCTATGTGGCATGGTATCTATGTGGCATGGTATCTGTGTGGTGTGGTATCTATGTGGTGTGGTATCTATGTGGCATGGTATCTATGTGGCATGGTATCTATGTGGCATGGTATCTATGTGGTATGGTATCTATGTGGCATGGTATCTATGTGGCATGGTATCTATGTGGCATGGCATGGTATCTATGTGGCATGGTATCTATGTGGCATGGTATCTGTGTGGTGGTGGTATCTATGTGGTATGGTATCTATGTGGCATGGTATCTATGTGGCATGGTATCTATGTGGCATGTGGTATCTATGTGGCATGGTATCTATGTGGTATGTGGCATGGTATCTATGTGGCATGGTATCTATGTGGCATGGTATCTATGTGGCATGGTATCTATGTGGCATGGTATCTATGTGGTATGGTATCTATGTGGCATGGTATCTATGTGGCATGGTATCTATGTGGTATGGTATCTATGTGGTATGGTATCTATGTGGTATGGTATCTATGTGGCATGGTATCTATGTGGCATGGTATCTGTGTGGTGTGGTATCTATGTGGCATGGTATCTATGTGGCATGGTATCTATGTGGCATGGTATCTATGTGGCATGGTATCTATGTGGCATGGTATCTATGTGGTATGGTATCTATGTGGTGTGGTATCTATGTGGTATGTATCTATGGTATCTATGTGGCATGGTATCTATGTGGCATGGTATCTGTGTGGTGTGGTATCTATGTGGCATGGTATCTATGTGGCATGGTATCTATGTGGCATGGTATCTATGTGGCATGGTATCTATGTGGCATGGTATCTATGTGGTATGGTAGCTATGTGAGATGGCACTAGTCCTCGCTCCCATTACACAAGGCAAGCTTAGCGCAACAACTGTCGTAAGGCTTTACTAAAGTAAAGTATTTATGATCACTATGTGGAGGTGAGGTGAGGTGAAATTGGGTTTTACATCATGCTTGAGAATATTTCGCTCATATGATGACATGCATGTGTGTGTATGTGCGGCTGCTTGTATTAGCCCAGACTGAAGCTGGTTTTATAGTGCTAGCCCACTGAGATACCACGCCTCAGTGAAGCATGAATACCCCACTCAGACACATTATACTGACTCCCAGCCGACCAGTCCTTGTTGTACCCATTAATGCCGAGCGCCAGACAGGGACCAACAAGTACCATATTTTAACGTCTTTTGGTATGACGCGGTCGGGGATCGAACCCGCGACCTTCCGCTCTCCGGGCAGACACTCTAACCACAACACGGAGGCGGTCCGATCGCTATGTGGAACAGCACCCAGACCAGTACAACCAGCCCACACATCTACACTATATACATTGACTACTACTACTATTGAGCTGTGGACAAAAATATATGTCCAGTTACTTGAGTTAGTCGCCTCTTATAACCAGCAAGCATGGGTTGTTGAAGGCCAGTTCTAACCCAGATCTTCATGGGTCATTTTGAATGGGCAACCAGAGTTCACTAATGGTGCACCTCATTAGAGGACTCTGCAGATTTTCATCACATCGTATTGGAGTAAAACCTTCGAACACACGATCACCTACTTCATTTTCAATCCGTTCTGTTTCCATTTTCGCATCATCTGTTGACATAGCATTGTTCAGGGTCTTCAGTTCTGAAAGAGAATCACACAGTAAAATTAGTTCGGATTCAGTGTATACTTAATTATTGAAAACTACTCAAAGGCCATTTGACTTAGCAGGCAAAGACAATCCGGCATAGTCAAGACAGAAAAAGTGGCTGAAATACTATCTGCTTTTATTACACCACAACAAGCCACAATTATAGTCCAATGTTATCCAGGTAAAAGTCAAAACTGGGCAACCAAATCTTAATAATCATCACCCCACGTGATTTTGCTGGAATATTGCTAAAAGCGGTGTAAAACTAAACTCACTCACTCACTCACTCTTAATGATCATCATGTCATAGATTTGAGAAACACTTGATTTGGCATTCATTACATACTGCATGTCTTTAACATATATCAGAAAAACACTCTGCTTATTTTGTGAACATCATATATATGATGTCATTTCATTCTAAGATTTGAGCAGTTTGAGTGTGTAAGTGAGAATGCTTTTACACCATTCTTTAACAATATTCCAGCAAATATCATGTCAGGGAACAAAAGAAATGGGCTTCATACAATTTACCCACATAGGGAACTGAACCCCAGTTTCTGGCATGAGGAGCTAACCCTTTCACCACTGGGCTACCCCACAGTCCCCAGTGTTGGAGTACACATCAACTTCCTAAAATTGTAATTTTTTAAGTAAAATTGATATTTTATTCTTATCCTGACTCATGATCTTTTGCTTATCTCCCTTTCCCTTTCGAATGGTAGTGGAACACTTGAATCCCTTGAAGTTCCCAAAGCGGATGTATAAATACACTCACCCACGAGTTACCTCCCTTTGCCCTTTCCCGCTCAAACCAGTCATGTTACCTGCCTTACTTGTCACTCTCTCCTGATTATATCTATAATCTTGTCCATGTCATTGAGTATTTTGAAATTAAACAACATTTTACTTGCCAATTCAAAATCAAAGTGAATATCTCCAAATGTTGAATATTCAGATACAGCGGAAAACAAATCATCTTCACCTTATTTGTTACACAACATCACCATGACAACCCTACCTGATTCCAGCTTGCGAACTCTATCCTGGACTTGTTGAACAGACTCTGTCAACTCCACTATCTTCGCATCCATACTCTTCAGCTCAGCATCATCCACATCAGGAAAGTTACTCTGAAATGGGTACTGACTGACTGACTGACTGAGTTTGGTTTTACACCGCTTTTAGCAATATTCCAGCAACATCACTACGGGGAACACCAGAAATGGGCTTTACACATTGTACCCATGTGGGGATTCGAACCCGGGTCTTTGGCGTGACAAGCCAACGCTTTTACCACTAGGCTACCCCACCGCCCCTGAAATGGGTACAGCTTGATGTGCACACTGTTTTATACAGCCTTCAGCAAACTTGCAGGTATATAACATTGTGTCTGGACAAAGAATTGCTGTTTTCCGTGAGAAACCTAACTTAGAGTTACCAAGTCTTTGACAGACATTCATGGTAACAGATCATGAAGATATGACACATATCCACTTTTTTATTGCGAGTGAATGGTTTTGTGCTGCTTTTAGCATTATTCCAGCAACATCACAGCCAGGGGACACCTGAATTTGGCTTCTCACATTGTACCCATGGGGAGAACTGAACCCGGTCTTTGGCGTGATGAGCAAATGTTTTAACCACTAGGCTACCCTACTGTCCCTTATCGTTTGTGAAGATCTATCAGGACTACTTCTTCATCAGATGAACTCTGGGTGAGGTGAGGTAAAATTGGGTTTAACGTCGGGCTTGAGAATATTTCGCTCATATGACGACGTGCATGCGTGTGTATGTGTATGTGCGGCTGCTTGTACTAGCCCAGACTGAAGCTGGTTTTATAGTGCCAGCCCACTGAGATACCATGCCGCAGTGAAGCATGAATACCCCACTCAGACACATTATACTGACTCCCAGCCGACCAGTCCTTGTTGTACCCATTAATGCAAAGCGCCAGGCAGGGACCAACAAGTACCATATTTTAACGTCTTTTGGTATGACGCGGTCAGGGTTCGAACCCGCGACCTTCCGCTCTCTCCGGGTGGACGCTCTAACCACTACACCACGGAGGCGGTTAACTCTGGGTGAGCATGAGTTAATATTTATACATGATGATATGTTTGCACATGGTACAGTCTGTTTGGGTGAAAATAATACCAATGAATCACAATCTAAGTCCAAATCGGTTCATGATCGAACATTCATTTTAACGCACAATATAATGAAAACATCAGGCAAACTCTGGAAAAACGTTTCATAACGTTTGTCTCCAAAATTAAAAAGTTACTTAACAAACTATCATCATTTTGTTTTGATTTTCCATGTGAAGTTTTACGAGGGTAAAGTAACAGTAACCAGTTGCAGGAACAGCTTCTGACAATTAACCAACATGGCAAAGGAAGGCTCCATATTAATTTCATGTCAATTTCATGCTGGAAGTCATACATTCAAGTACTGATCAGACTCAGTACCTGTTGTGACCAAAATATATCCATTTTTATTGTCTCATAAGGAACGTATGATGTTATAATGGTTAATTACTCTGTCCAAAATCACTACAGAACAGCACCACAACAATCAGACAGACAGTTCAGATAGTTTTTTTCAAAACATATCAATCAAACAATCAATGTACAGAAACTGCTGCCAGACTCAGAGCTAAGCCGACATAAGTTCATTTTTACACTTCACTTAGGTTTAAACATTGTCACAGTGAGTGAGTGAGTGAGTGAGTTTAGTTTTACGCCACACTCAGCAATATTACAGCTATATGGCGGCGGTCTGTAAATAATCGAGTCTGGACCAGACAATCCAGTGATCAACAGCATCAGCATCGATCTGCGCAATTGGGAACCGATGACATGTGTCAACCAAGTCAGCGAGCCTGACCACCCGATCCCGTTAGTAGCCTCTTACGACAAGCATGGGTTACTGAAGATCAATATTCTAACCCAGACCTTCACGGGTCAAACATTATCATAAATCAATAACGCTGGGTTGTCATAAAGAGTAAAATCATTTTCATGTGAATATTCATTATGTGACTTATGAAAATGACATCAAATATCTTTAACATATGTTATATTTGGGATTACACTTTTTTAGTAAAGAAAGCGGTCTAGGCATCTGACTTTGTGTGCTGGCGATAAGGGTGCCTGACTCTGAGGGTGTAGGTTCCAATCCCGGATGGGACTCAACCCAAAAAGTACTAGAATCTGTACTTTACTAAGAAAGTGTAATCCCAAATATAACATATGTTACATTTGACCACTTTCTAAAAAAATGGCATTGTGTATTTTCATAGCTTTCAGCCGTGGGAGCCGTGCCAATTAACACCTATCAGAGGGGTACACAAAGTCCGATCAGTATCTTTTGTGTGGAAGCGCGCGGTGGCTGAGCCGGTCTAGGCATCGGACTTTGTGTGCTGGCGATTAGGTGCCTGACTCTGAGGGTGTGGGTTCAATCCCGGATGGGACTCAACCCAAAAAGTACTAGAATCAGTACTTTACTAAGAAAGTGTAATCCCAAATATAACATATGTTACATTTGACCACTTTCTAAAATGGCATTGTGTATTTTCATCAAATATCTTACTATACCTGATCAGCCACATACACTTTCTGTTTGCCGTAAGCTTTTTCTCGAATCTTTCCATCAGCAGCCAAACTTTCACAAGCTTTTGTGATAGCCTGAAACATAGAATTATTAAAACCAGAGTGTATTCTGTCTTCTTTCTGTATACATACTGTTTGAGACCACAGATTCATTTCAGAACTGACACCACAGTCTATGCCAAAATATTTTCCCAAGACAATGGTGATCTGATGAAATGCCACACTAATGGCTTCTGACTTGTCCGTTAAGTACTGTTAGCTAATTGTTAGATTTTCACCAAACACGAGGAAAATCACCTTTTTTCAGAGATTTAGCCCCACTCATGTCCATGATAAAGTCTTAACATTCAACATTAATATGTAACATGTTACATATGGGATTACACTATCTCAGTAAAGTACTGATTCTAGTACTTTTGTTGAATTGAGTCCCACCCGGGATTCGAACCCACACTCTCAGAGTCAGGCACTTAACCGCCAGCTTCCAAGGTCAGCCATCTAACCCACTCACCCACTGCAGATTCTTTATTGTTTGTGAGTGTGTATGGTTTTATGCCCAAACCAAAGAAGGTATCTCATGAATTCATTCATAAATACTATTGAGTTATTGTTAAATGTATAAGAAAGAAGAACTCAAAAGTTGGTTCATCAGGAATTCTGTGTTATCTGTACTTACAGTTTTGCCATATTCTTTTCCCATATTGTTTAGAAGGTCAGTTACACTGTAGGGTCTGTTTTGACGGTTGAGGTAGTCAGCCACAGCTTTTGAAGCTAAATTATATACAAAAGTAACATTAGGCTATTGCTAAAGTCATGTCAATGAGTGTTCATTTAATAGTCCAGCATATAACTAGACGACTTTGCACTATTACTATACCAAGTTGTGAGATGTAGGCCTTGCCTGGAATACGAGTTTATTTATATGAACTACGGAAATAAGTGTAAGAAAACTGTCATCTTGACATAACACAGAACAGCTGGTTACCAACAATGGATGGATGAAGGGATACCTGGACGATACGTTCCTTTACTCATTCACGGGACCAGGTTCGCATATGATGCCGAAGGTGACATGTTGCATGGTGAATTACACCAGAACCGGACCCAAGCCAAACCGGCCCCTGATATTTGACCCGGACCAGCATCTGATATTTGACCCAAACCGGCCCCGAGAAGTAAATATTTCTACATTGACATATAAATTAAAGTTCCTTTAACATAAATGACGAAAACATATTATTCATATGTCTTTACATGTAATATCGATTTTTGAAAATATATTTGCAAATATTAGTGTCGATGAGAGGCGAGTGAACATGCAAGTGCTGCTGATCACGGGGATCCCAAGGTAGAGGACATTTTATGTAATCCTTTTAAGAATCTAAAAGATCAATTGCAAAACGATACTATGTTAAACTCTAATAAAACGTGTATTTACATTTCGTTGTATCATATCCACAGAATTGACACATTAATTAAGAAATACACTTCGCTCTACCACCATGTATAGTGTAATAAAACACACTTTTGCCCTGAACTATTATAGTTAAAGTTATAATAGTATAGGGCGAAAGTGTGTTTTATTACACTATACATGGTGGTAGGGCGAACTGTATTTCTTTTCTAAGATGCCAAATTTAATACTTTCTAAAGATAATTACGATTAATTTAAGGCAGAAAACAAACGACGGTGTCGGTGACCTAAATTAAGAATCCTCGCAGAGGGCTAACTGGCGCGCTGTTCTATTGATGTGTCTGCCCCCAACGTTAAGACGAACGTTACCAGAAAAAAACCAAATGATAACAGGTTGATGACGGGTTTACGTTCGGATTAAATATCTTTTCTGAATTATTTTAATTTCATCTGTCATTAACGTAAACCATATGGGGCAATATGAACGTTGCATTTCTACTACCAGCGTAAGTTTAGATCAGTACATCCAGAGGAAGTTGAGTAGTCAAGCGACATTCCACAATTGCATTGTGGGAATGTAAACATTACGAACGTTACCGCGTCACTGAAAACTTGTGAGTCGAAATGACACATTTAACCGTCGTAAAACATAAACGTAATGTTTCCACCAGTGATGTTAGCTGCGTGAAGCAACAGCAAACCAAGAAACTGGATGCAACAGTGTAGTTTACTGTATGAGGCCGTACTGACATGCATCGTGACGTCGCTTACATTGTGACGTAATGTAAAATGGTTCGATTACGAGGGGGCACACTAGAACGGCGCAGTGACGGGATAACGTCATTCAATTGTTACGTCATCAAAAACTATACCTTTATTGTCTGATAATGTAATTTTTTTTTGATTGTTCTAACCGCTTGGCATCTTAGAATCCAATATAAGAATAGAACACAAATCCAATATAATGAATTCACGTTTCACCATTGTTATGCCAAAGTTTCCAGTAACGAATTCACAAATAATAATGTCGTCCTTCATATTTTCGCATGTTTCCATGTGTGGAACATTTGTCAATATTTTAGATAATTAGCGAAACTAGTTCAACTTCAAACGAAACGAAATGCAGTCGTAAACGGAAAGCATGTATGTTTCAACAAAATTATCCTGAGCTACTGCCACTGCTCCGTCGCCACAGGGAATAATTCCACTTCAAGTCTCTTGTCGATCCCTTAAACATAATAAAAAACAAAGTCTACGTTTACAGAAATATATTAACTGCCGCTTGCATCTGCACATACCTGCGGCATCTTTATTTTTACTCATGTCGCCGCAGATGATGTTTACATTAGGTATTTCATAAATGGCGGGTGTTGTTCGAAGGGAGATAATTCCACTGTTTGCTCACAGAAAGGCGACCGCTAGCAAAATACGTGCTTTTACTGAGAATAGAATAGAATAATACTGTAATGCCTTTTCAGGAATTTGTCTTACATCAGCACAGCTACTGACACATTAGAGAGATACCAAACATATTTACATAAATTCTTTGATTTAGGTATCTTCACATTTGTTTAAGAGAGATATGGTACTTGGAATAAAGGATGTACGGGCTCTCTTAGTTTTCACAATTGGAACTTTGTAGCGGCAGCCTGAAGGGAGGAGGTTGTATTCCGAATTTAAGTAGTGACTACGTTCAGATATGATTTTGACAGCTTGATTCACGATTTGCCGCTCATATATTGATGATAAACATTCAAATCTGACTCCAGCGATTTTAATTGCAGGGTTAACAAATTTGTCTATTTTAGATTTGAGATGAACTGAGAGAGACCCGTACCAACAATGGAAGGAAAATGAATGCTGCATAAAAAGATGACACCACAGATGGGTTAACATTAAAAGATCTCAGTTTACGCATGAGATGAAGACGTTGTTGACACGTTTTGTATAGGGCCTCAGTGTTAGAGTTCCAGTTCAGCTTAGAGTCAATGAAGGTTCCCAGATACTTATACTCCGACACTGTCTCAACACATTCACCGTTGATTATCACTGGAAGCATTTCTGTGGGTTTACTCCGAAAGTCAATTATCAGTTCCTTTGAACTGAGTGAGTGAGTATGGTTTTACGCCACTTTTAGCAATTTTCCAGCAATATCACGGTGGGGAACACCAGAAATGGGCTTCACACATTGTACCCATGTGGGGAATCGAACCCGGGTACAGTCAGTAAAATCATAATCATGAATAATTCTTGGATCCTTGTGAGACAGACAGTGAAACAATGTGCACGCGCGAAATGCTAACTCACCTGCTCCGTGAAACAAGTGACATCAAGGAGTGTTGTAGACAGAGTGAGTGAGTTTAGTTTTACGCCGCATTCAGCAGTATTCCCCTCTATATGGCGGAGGTCTGTAAATAATCAAGTCTGGACCAGACAGTTCAGTGATCAACAGCATGAGCATCGATCTACGCTGGGATACGATAGCATGTGTCAACTAAGTCAACGAGCCTGATCACCTAATCCCGTTAGTCGCCTCTTCCGACAAGCACGCGTTACTGAAGATCAATTCTAACCCGGATCAGTCATATTAAAAGTAATAATTATCTGTCACAAATGACACAAAAAGCTTCTTTTTTTCTTCTGAGTATTAGGTGAGGTGAAATTGGGTTTAACGTCGTGCTTCAGAATATTTCGCTCATATGAGTATGTGTATGTGCGGCTGCTTGTACTAGCCCAGACTTAGCTTTTATAGCGCTAGCCCACTGAGATACCATACCGCAGTGAAGCATGAAGCCGACCAGTCCTTGTTGTACCCATTAATGCCGAGCGCCAAGTACCAAATTTTAACGTCTTTTGGTATGACGCGGTTGGGGATCTAACCCGCGACCTTCCGCTTTCCGGGCGGACGCTCTAACCACTACACCACGGAAGCGGTCTCTGAGTATCTGTGTCAGGTCTGTTTTGCTATAACATTCCGATTAAAGTGTTTTCGTGATTGTATTTTTTAGATATTTAAATTGAAATAAAGAGTTATTTTTGTGGTCTGTTTGTAATAGTGAATACACAATGCCTTTTAGAAAGTGGTCAAATGTATGTGAGATTACACTTTCTGTTAAGAACAGATTCCAGTATTTTCAGCTATTTAATGTCAGGGGTTACACAGAGTACGTGAGCAGGTCGGGAACTGGGCAATCCGTACCCATGTAGATTTGTACCCATATTTTGGTGAGCATCCTGTACTCACCCATACCTAAACAACGGGACTGTCAGACCATTTTTTGTGGAAGCTGCGGTACGGGTGTCTCACTCTGAGAATTTGGGTTCGAATCCTGCAATGGACTCAAAAAGTACTGAAATCCGTACTCTACTGATAAAGCGTATCCCCTTAAACATTGTATGGGATGTATGAGTAATAAAATACAAAACGCATTCATTTCTGGGTTGTTGTTTTTTAAGACAATTGTTTGCAACATGTCATATTTGTCCCATTTTACCTAAAAATCGAATGAAAACCATTATTGTTCCATGAAACAATTTGGGAAAACATGTTATTTTGCGTTTAATTTGGTTGATATTTAATGGAGACATGAATTCGTGTTGTCACTGTGTTCATATCTCGTACAAAATTGTCTTCTTGTGAACCAGCGTGTTTTTAAACAAATGCCATCTGATAGCTGGATGATTCGATCCTGTATCGCAGAATTATTATTTGAAATGTCAGTGTATTTGTAACCGTTGCAGAGTTACGTACCCTTTCAAACTGTCAAGCGGAATGAAAGATAAACCAAGTTAATAAAACAGTAACTTATGGCTTTAATTTGTATTAGTTTTATATTATTATCAGAAAACATAACATTACATGGTAATGTGAAAAGAACAATAGTGAATATTTTGGAAATGAGAAATTGTGTGTGTATATATTTCGCATGTTTTTGCATGTGATGCATGTGATGCTTTTATATGCAACCATAGCAAGCATGGCGGCGAATGTGACACTTTCAGAATTGCAAATTCAAGAGGAGGGAGTAAATAGAGACAGGGTGCGGATATATGCCGAGTATAAATCACATCTGTCAGTTCTCAACATAACGTTGGATTTTGGGAGCAGGTATGAAGTTTACAGTCACACTTTCAGTCATTCTCGGGGAAATATCTCATATTTGTCTAGCCGAGAGCCGCGGCGATGCGGTCCTATACAGTGGGTCTCCCTAATCTGAATGACGAATGACAGCGAATGACGAATGACAAATGTATTTTTGCACAATGAAGTCTCTCCTTGTCATTCGTTATTCTTCAGTGAAATTATCAGTAATATCACCCTCTGTAAAGGGAATGACAGTGACCTGACTGTATAGGACTGCATCGCCTCGGCTAATATTTGTCAAGTTCAATCCGAGACTTGTCGGTCAGCTAACTGCAGTTTACTGGATTTAGCTCCATATAACTAGGCCTAACTGTTTCCGGCTGTTGCTCTACCTTCACTGATTTGCGTTTCTGTTCGATCTTTGCTTTGGAGAGGATTAGGCGAAAGGCCGGCTTCTTTAATAGAAATCCACTTTTCAAAGATGCCACCCTGACCGGCTAAGGGTAGAGTTTGAGATTATTAACCTACCCTAAACCGAACACAACCTAACCTTAGCACCGAAGAGGCACATGAGATCAGTCAGTGTCACTTAGTGCTATAAGCCACATCTGGTGCCACCCGTGAAGATCCGGGTTAGAATATTGATCTTCAGTAACCCATGCTTGTCGTAAGAGGCGACTAACGGGATTGGGTGGTCAGGCACGCTGACTTGGTTCCCAACTGTGCAGATCGATGCTCATGCTGTTGATCACTGGATTGTCTGGTCCAGACTCGATTATTTACAGACCGCCGCCATATAGCTGGAATATTGCTGCGTAAAACTAAACTCACTCACATCTGGTGCCTCAGATTCTCTTTGATGAATTTGGGCTTGAGGTTATCTACCTCTTTTAACAAATTTACTGCCCCGAGAAAATCTCTTTTTATCAAGTTTAGGACTTTGTGGGAAAGGTTACAGCACATGTGTACTGATATGTGCAAGGAATAAGTTTGGGTGGACATTTGTGGATTAAGATTGTTCATTACAATATGATTGGAAATACCCCAAACATTTTTTTTTTCATTTCAGATGTCACAAAAACATCTCAGTTTCTACAGACCAGACCTCAGTTACTGCTGAATTTGATGCTAGACAGTGTATATTCCATCTAGAGAATGTAGAGTTGCTTCCTCTATCGTGTAGAGGTTTGCAATGGCAGCCGAGTGGAGAACTTCAGATGACTCTGCAAGTAAAAGATGAGAAGCAGCATTTAGACTGCGAAGACCAGTTTGGGGTTGCATGTAGAAAACAGGAGGACGTTTGTGCCAACATTCAGACACATCAAAACAAATGTTATTGTGCTTGCTGCGGTAAAAAGATACTTAAAGATCACAGGCGAGTAATATTTGCATGATACATGTAATGAGTTATGTTACCACTGGCTTAGAACAACATAAGGGGTTCCGTTTAGAATTCGTCTGAAGTTACAAGTTCTTGTCATAATAGATACCTGAAGTGAATTTGGTCATGTTGGTTTCTAGTTGACTGCGTGTCACCAGTATTGAGGAATGTTGCTCATGTTAATTTTAGCATTAATAGACAAGATATGACCTTTTTTTCCAATTTACTTGTCAGATAGTTAGCTGAAGTTCATAGAAATATCTGCACTGTTTCCTAATAATTTTTAAATGACTGATTTCAGTGTCTTCTCAAGAGTATTGCCACTTCCATCAGAAAATTGGTCGGATCTAGCTGAATTCTGGTTTTGTCATCGCCATGGTGATGAGGAAGACCAGACTCCAACAGTGTCGCCTAAACCTGGAGATTGTTTAGTGGGCAGTTTCTACATTCTTTTGTCCCAGTCTCACATGAAAATGAACTCTGTGACTTGCAGTGACAGCAATGAACTGATCAGATGCAGTCGATGTGGAAACATTCTTGGAGTCACTTTACAAGATGATGATGTTAAACCACAAAGAAATGGTATTTATCGTGGCTTGACTTCACCTGATCATCGTATATCATAATCATGGTGAAAGTGTTTTATTCTCCTTTCTTTCTCGAATATTGTCAGTAGCTTTTTGAAATATTAATATACCACAATGTCACATAGTACACTTATAGGTTTTTAAATATTCAATGTATGTGTGGCTTTAGATTTTGTTAAGAAAAAATGGTAGAAATCAGCTGTCAGTGTGGACTGGTGAAGATCTGGGTTAGAATTGATCTTCAGTAACCCATGCTTGTCGTAAGAGGCGACTAATGGTATCGGGTGGTCAGGCTCAGTGACATGGTTGACACATGTCATCGTATCCCAATTGCGTAGATCAATGCTCATGCTGTTGATCACTGGATTATCTGCTCCAGACTCAATTATTTACAGACCGCTTCCATACAGTTGTAATATTGCTGAGTGTCGCGTAAAACTAAACTCACTCACTCATTCAGTGTGGTCAAGTTACTGGTGATCTAGTTCTACACTCAAAACGCTGAAAATTGTCACTGATGAAGGGGAAAATTTTGGAGGTCAATTTTCTTAATATATAGAATGTTGTGTTCTTCACATTACAGAATGGGGCAGTGGGGTAGTCTAGTGGTTAAAGTGTTGGCTGGTCATGCCGAAGACCCGGGTTCGAATCCCCACATGGGTACAATGTGTGAAGCCCATTTCTGGTGTCCCTGGTGTGGAATATTGTTAAAAGCGGCATAAAACCAAACTCAGTCAGTCACATTACAGAAGTTGACATCCATAAATTTCCCTTTCATCAATGACATCTGTATCACCTGATCATTGATCATTTTAACACCACAAATATTGCCTAATAAGAGATACTCACCAAAATATTATAGTTGTTTTTGAGGTTGTTGGCATTTTGTCCAGGGTTGATCCATCCGACCAGTGATGTCAAGAAGACCACACCCCTCTGTCACCTGTATCTCCACGCTGTCGCATTCCAAGACCAGTCTAGTCTTTCCCCATCTGTGTGAGTAGAAATCTCTTGTATGACGTATGTATCTGTGTAGGAGATACGCCAACTCTGTCCTATATTATTTGGGTTGGTGAGGTAGCCTACTGGTTAAAGCGTTCACTCGTCATGCCAAAGTCCGAGTCCCCAAATGGGTACAATGTGTGAAGCCTATTTCTGGTGTCCCCCGCCGTGATATTGCTGGAATATTGTTAAAAGTGACGCAAAACTGAACTAACTAGCTACCTTGCTCTCCTCTTCCCCCTCCCTCCCCCTCACCCACTCACTCACTCTGTGTTTGTGTTTCAGGTGGAGTGCCTCTAGTGTTGAAGTGTTCCTCTGCCAGTTGTTGCTGGAACAGAGTCGACTGTACACCAGCTACCGATTCCTTCTCCAATCTAAGAATGCTAAAGAGGAGAACACCATTAAAGTTCTTGTATGTACAGATTTAGTTTAAGCAATTGTTTCTTTGCTCAATCTTATTACTTTCTCAATGAATATTTATTTCTTTTTCAAAAAGTGGCAGTGGGGTAGCCTAGTGTTTAAAGCGTTCACTCGTCACAACGAAGACAGGGGTTTTATTCCCCACATGGGTACAATGTGTAAAGCCCATTTCTGGAGTCCCCTGCCATGAGATTGTTGGAATATTGCTAAAGGCGGTGTAAAACTCACTCACTCACTCATTCTTTTTAAAAATATTAATATTATATCTTTTTACTTACATTTTTAGATACTTTCTTTACAAAATCTGGTAAACTTTATCTGTATCATAAACCAGGCATGCTGTGAAGGCTTGTTATTTGTGATTTGAGTGCAGTTAGGTAGTCAAGTGTTTAAAATGTTCACTTATCATCCTGAAGCTCAGGTTTGATTCATTGACTGGGCCGCCGTGATATTGCTGGAATATTGCTAAAAGCGGCATAAAACCCAACTTTCTCACTCACTCCTTGAGTGGGATGAATGTGTGAATCTCATTTTTGGTGTCATGATGTTGCTGAAATATTGCATACAAACTCACTCGACCACTCACTCACTCTCTCACATGATGCTTGCTTGCAGTTATGGCTGATTGATCAAGACCTAACACTGTACATGGGAGAAGGTCACTCAGGTCAACCTTCACACAGTGTCAAGGTCGATGGCAGCAGGGTGGCTAAGGTGCTCTTTCGGTCAACTGTTGGCAAAATGGACAGGTAAGCAGGGCTCCAGGTAATTATTTTGACTCTGGGGTATTTCACTCCTCAAAAATAAAATTGAGGAGTACAGTACCAAATGGAAATAAAAGAAGGAGTATTTCACAGGTTTCCGTCGCCATGAATGTCAGTAATACTGCATGTACAGCATAAACCAATAAAGTCTTTTCACACGCTTCCAGGATATAGCTGCAATTGTTCTGACTACTCTGTTACAAGCAAACAAAACATTAACCTTTCAGTTCAGCATCTAGTCGCTGTGATATGTTCCTGTACCGGACATGGGAGAAGGACAACACTGTTCATGGCCTGACCCTGCCACGCCCACTCATTCTGCAGCTGGTGTCCCTGCTAGTCGGCAACACATCCAGTCTGCCCACCTCGCACAGGCATCTCAACGGTTTCCATGTAAGGGTCTAGGGTTTAACAGTTCAATAACGCTGAAGGGCTAGTTGCTTAAGAAAGTACAGTCAAACATATTAAATTAGAGTTACCTCCCCTTAACCCATTGCCTCAGTGGTGGTTTTAGCAGTAAAGAAATCATACAAATCGGCACAATTTTTCTTAACAGCAACTATAGTCTGTTTGATTTCATTTGAGACCGATGAATTGCTCACTAACACAAAATGTTATAAATGCAACAAAACCAAATTTTGCACAGTCACATGAAATCGACAGACCAACTCTGATGATTTGTCTCATAATTTTGGACAGCCAAATAAAAAAGTTGTTTAACAAACGATCATTATTTTGTTGTCACTGTTCGCTATTTCTTACGAGGGAGGACCACTTGCTAGTAGAACAGCCAGGTGTGCGTGTTGCACGTGTGAAATTGAAATTTCACTGCATACGCTTGTCTAATGCTTTAGCCAAAATATATTGTATTTATCATGTGACTTTCATGTTGTTTTCAGGTGAGTTTCCTCAAAAAGGATTGAGTCACAGAAAAGAAACCACCGATGAATCCATAGGGACCAACACTCACCTCTATGCTACTGGCAGCTATATGTTATGGTGTATGATTTTGCTGTACGTCTGTACATACAAAAGCATTGTTTGCGTTAAATGTTTATTGTTAAGCATGTATTAAAGTTTTATATCAATTTGTGACTTTATGGCTTTTTATATGTTTTGGGGGGTTATAATTTAAACAAGTTTGAACTGTAGTAATCCCAGATAACAGAAGGTGAGAGAACATGCATATTTTGCTGTATCAGCTTTTGCATTTATTTAGCTTTTATGCTTTTTATTCATAGCAGTGTGTTTGTCAAGTGATAAATTATAGTGCTGTAGTCATTGACCTTTAGTTCACCTGTGGCTTGGGGCACAGTAATTCATGCCAAAGACCATGGGGCCTTAGTCATGGATTGTTGCTAATGGTATCTATCACTGACTGACCAGAATCAACGCATTTGTATCTTGATTCTTCATTGGTTGGACCGCCTCCGTGGTGTAGTGGTTAGAGCGTCCGCCCGGAGAGCGGAAGGTCGCGGGTTCGATCCCCGACCGCGTCATACCCAAAGACGTTAAAATATGGTACTTGTTGGTCCCTGTCTGGCGCTCGGCATTAATGGGTACAACAAGGACTGGTCGGCTCGGAGTCAGTATAATGTGTCTGAGTGGGGTATTTATGCTTCACTGCGGCATGGTATCTCAGTGGGCTAGCGCTATAAAACCAGCTTCAGTCTGGGCTAGTACAAGCAGCCGCACATACACATACACACGCATGCACGTCGTCATATAAGTGAAATATTCTCAAGCACGATGTTAAACCCAATTTCACCTCACCTCACCTCACCTGCATTGGCTGATCATTTAAGAGTGAGTTTAGCTTTACACCGCACTCAGCAATATTCCAGCTATATGGTGGCTGTCTGTAAAAAATCAGAATGATAAACAGAATGATGAGGAACTGGCTTGGAGCAGTGACTCTGATTGCTGCATGAACAGTGACTGAAAGATTTAATTTACTGTTCATGAAAGTCTAGGAAGTAAGAGAACTAATCTTATCAGACACCAGATTTCTTTTGTTATAATAATGTTCTAAACCGTCTTTACCAAAACACAAGCATTGATTAAGATTTTATATAGAGCAGCAGGTGCAACCTGTTTTTGTTTGGTACAAGATTATTGCCTCAGGTTGCACTAGGTGCAAGGAGGTTTCATTTCCTTAAATCGAGCCCTGCATGTGTCAACCAAACCAGACAGCCTGACCACCCGATCCCATCCCGTTAGTCGCCTCTTACAATAAGCATGGGTTACTGAAGAGCAATTCTAACTTGGATCTGGTCTGATCATTTAAGAACATGCAAATAACAATACCTCATCATTATAAATACTGATATTTGTATAGCGCTCAAAGGCACTTTGTTTTGCCCTGTATCATTGGATGTCAATCCCCAACCGCGCATCATATTTTCAATCTCAACTACCTAGGAATCATACAGCTCTTGTAGCCATTAGGAGCACAACGTTTATGTGGCTTTCCCATCCTTACGAGGTACCCATTCACTGCTGGGTTGATTGAGACACACAGTCACAGTACTTTGTCCAAGTTTACTGCACGTTGCATGGGCGGATCCAGGAATTTTGAAGGGGGTGGGGGGTTCGAACTCCCTGAAACCCCCCTCTGGATCCGCCAATGCATTGCTGTACCGGCTACTGGGTTTTCTGCACGTATTCATGTGGCCACCATCTGGTCATATACCAACGGATTCGTGGGTTCTTTTAAGTACAGAGGGTTGTGTACTGTACACTAGGGGTTGTGACAACACTGAAAGAGTCTGCACACAAAGTTGACTCCAAGCTTTACACCCATGGGTGTATGTGAGTGTAACAAAACCTCACACTATGTGAGTGTGTAACAAACAAGATGAAGACGGAGACTGTTTGGATGGAGTTTACTTTCTTCAGCAGTTGTAGAATGAGCATCACATGGTGGACAAACAAGGGTTAGACAACCACCACCACAGAGTGGGGGTAACAGTGTTAAAGTCACAACTCAAACAAAATGTACTACTCAACGTTTGATAAGGATAATCAAACATGCCAGACATATTACACTTATACACTTGGCATTGTGAGAATTATTCTTGTGCATAATGAAAATGTACAGACTACCCATGTCGAAAACGGAGTAGTATAGATTCTGAAAATGGACGGTATTGTTACTCCCAACACATCAGGAGCCGTTTCCTGAAGCTGTTTTCCAGTTACCATATAAGGATGGATAACAATATATGGATAAACAACTTCTTTAATACAGTGAGAGCGACGTGGCCATCACTTGCTCAATAGCCATGTTAGAGGTGAGGTGAGGTGAAATTGGGTTTTACGTCGTGAGCCTTGTTAGAACCTACACAGCTCTCACTGTAATAAGGAAGTTGTCCATCCATATCTTGTTATCCTTCCTTACTGCTCCAACTTCTAAATGCCTCTCACAGAAGTTACCATAGTCAAGTCTGACAAACAGAACGGATACAATAGCCCAAAGTGTTTCTTAAACAGTAAACAGTAGACAACAAGGGGTTGGTAAGTGTATGTTCAATTGTTGACTGTGAACCCGCCATTGCATTTATTTGAACATTTCTAGAATGGCGCCTCACTCTTTGTATGAAATCCTGAGTTCAGACCTACATTCACCTAATTTGCCAGTCTTTCTGAGAAACCTTTTTCAAACAGTTTAAACTATACTCCTGTTGTTTCAGGGTTATTTTTCAAAACCAGATGGTTCAATAAGAAAGTCGTTCAGTGAAATAAAGGCTTTCAGTTGTGCTTTCATTTGTATAGTTGAAATGACGTCATATGGCAAGGAGATTATTAATTTCTGTCAAAAATACGCCTCAATCCGTTGACGCCACAATGCCATTTTTGTTTTGAGGATGTACTCTTCCCCCGTGAACATAAAATCAGGGAATATATGATAACAGATATAAAATAACAAGCAAACAAACGATATCACAGCAAACAAGATCAGTATTATATGGTATTATTTACAACACAGTTCAAACATATTTACATTTCATATTTTGGCTATGCATGTCATACTGTGTGGTACGTTCATACTGCCTTAACGTAGCGTAAGGGGCGGTTGGGTAGCCTAGTACATAAAGCGTCCACAAGTCACGCTGAAGACCTGGGTTCGATTCCCGACATGGGCACAATGTGTGCAGCCCATTTACGGTGTTCCCCGCCGTGATATTACTGGAATATTGCTAAAAGTGGTGAATAACACACTAAAAAATGCAGCCTCAAATGACCTTTAAAGTTTGCAATGACTTGTCTAGTTTATAAAATGTAAACAAAGAGTGGGATATTCCAGGGAGTGTCACTGAACCACTCGACAATAAACTGTTCCACTCCACAAAGTCATTGTGGTGTTTTTTTCATAGGTCTTTGCTCATGGAGCTGGTTTGCGAAAGGCTTTGCCCTACCATCGCTTTGTGTAAGAGCGCCTTGTTAACTCATTACCGATGCGGCATGAAAATGACCGTATTTTCACAAATGCAAGAGTTCAATCTCGTATGGATTGCGTCACTACACCATGTTGAAATATATTGCTAATATAAGTAGTTGATAATATCCCGTTCGTAATGTTACGACCTGTCGTAACTTTATAGTTTATCGTATGTTTACGAATGTCGTAGCGCTACGTCATACGTAAGCCTCTGATAAAGTATAGAGTTACGATAGGTCGTGACGTTACGAATTCTTTGTAGATTGGGACACAGGCATTTATTTGGAAAAACAAACAGCTATTGCCATATTATACAATCGTGCACAATAAAATGTACTACTAATGACATAAGGACCAACTAATTCTTCCACACTGCTACAGTCAACCATCATGACATAATAGATTTACTCTGGTAAGGTGAAAGAATCGGATGGTTCTGAGGGAGGCACGGGTATCCATGTCGCCTAGTGCACTGCAATTCGCTCTCAAGAATTGCTTCTCTTAGATTCGCCAGAACCTTGTGATTGGATCGTGTCCCATTTGCCCCGATTGTATTTTTATGTGTGTTTGTTTTTCAGCACCACACCTATTCGTGTTCTTTTTCAAAGCGGTGAGCGTCTTATATATGCATCACTTCGGAGTTCACACCCATATTACGTTTTCATGAAACTGTATTACAGTTGGAAAAGGTGTTACATGTATATTCAACTATCAGTTTCAGTACACACTGGCAGGTATCAATGCTACGTTCACGTCGAAGTGCCAGCACGTCACGAACGTCCACGAGAATACAGGCTGTCCGTGATCAGGGCTGCAACTCCGCTGCCATTATAATGGCTGTCTCTTTTACACAATATTCGACTAAACCAATGGTTGAAGTGGACTGGTCATTTTATGATATCCTGCGCGACAAAACCTACTCAACATGGTCGTATATATATAGTCGGACTTGTAATGAAACGAGCATGACACTTGAAAGAGCCATTGAGCGAGACAAAGAGACTGGAAGACATAACGCTGCGCGTGACTAAATTATGTCAGTGAAATTCCCAAACTTAAAACGCCACGAACGTTATAAAAACCTAATTATGACGTTTGTGTAAGAAAGACGAATCAAACAATGACGTAAGGCCAATTATTCGGATTAAGCAGTTTTTGATGATTACCTTTAAGAAACACTCATACATATATAATATATTTGCGTAGACTACGGTTCGGGGCTATAAGAGCAGAGTGTCTCAATAAAAGTCGTTTTGTGATTTACCATACATAACACAGCACCAAAAGCCGGATTGACACAAACGAAAATAAGGTAAAAATACATGCAGTGACCGAATTTGCGTAAAATACATGCAACCTTTTGTTCTTTCGCGTAGTGTGAGAAGCATAAATATCTATTTAACGAACTGTATCAGCGTCACGGGTGTTCTATTGGCTTTCATTCGTATATGTCGTCCGTAATTAAACATATCAATAAATTATGAAACATAAACATTAAGTTGACAAGAACACACATCCTGTACTTTCGCAGGACCCAATTCACCCGGACGATTCCGTTCACCTGATGTTGTTATTAAAGGTTTAGATTGTCGACCCTGGGCATAGATCTTCCCAATGGAGTCTCACGGACCTGTACTGCCTGTAATGCCAGGTGGAGTGAGTAGCGCTTTTACGACTCTTTTATCAGTATTTCAGTTATAACAGCTTATCTGCGTTTTACTTATCTGCTTCATTTACGATGAACGCCTAAAGCTATGCAGATCTTACTCGTTGAACACTTTTGTGAAATCCTCATGAACGGCTATGAGGTACTCTATCGCACAGTCCATGAACCACTTTATTTTCCTACTGCCTAGCCCTCCCTGCAATGATGAAGCACTAAATGAAACAAGTCTAGATTCCCCCAGGTTCTGAATATCCCTTTTCAATTTAAATGGGTATATTTTTTACTATCAAAATTACATATACTGGACAAAATAAGTTAGGGATATTGGTATTTTTATTATTGATATTTTATCAGTGTGTCAATGAAAAAATAATTTACTATTAATAATTTCAAAATTTACATATATCCCTTACTATTTTGTCCAATATATATATTCATAGGCTAAGTGTTAGTCTAGGGTATGGTGCTGTCAAACATAGGATCACAGTCAGGGCAAATATGGGATTTCAAAATCAGCTGTAGGTACGACTTAAACGACATGGTCACACGTTCCCAGTGCCTTACATAGGGTGGTATACAGGAACTATAGGGATTTAAACCATTTCCTGGTGTACCGATAACACATCAACGTATGCATGTCAACAAAACAGCAACATTTATATGTCAATAAACATAGACACCACTCGTAACAAAAGAAATAAAAAAAGACTATTTACACAACAGATTATTATACATGGCTGTACACGTTTTTGTTTATCACAGGTATGCTGACAGATATCTCACGATGTATTTCCTTGTACAAACATATTTAGTATTTGGCATAGAAAAGACATTGATCACACAATGAGGACCAGAAAGCGGGAGTTTTAGTGTTCAGTAAATAGGTTTCAGTGTGCGTACGAGACTTCTAATTTACTTGGGACCTACCATTTGATTTTCTGGGATTTTACCCCAAATAAATAAATTTACCCAGAATGCTTTAAAAAATAAGGAAGGTTTAGGCTGTTTAAGTTTAGGTTGTGGGCATAAAATAAATACATTTTTGCAAAGTGGTTTTGTACTTTTTGTCATATTTGGTTAAAGTTGGTGTCTACCAGGTTTTATCAAAATCTAACCCTGGTTAAACAAAATCTGCTTTTGGTGCGGTGGAGTAGCCAAGTGGCCTTAGCGTTGGCTTGTCACGCCGAAGGCTCGGGTTCGATTCCCCACATGGGTACAATGTGTGAAGTCCATTTCTGGTGTTCACCGCCGTGATATTGCTGGAATATTGCAAAAAGCGGCGCAATACCTCACTCACTCAAAATCTGCTTTTGCAGCTGTAGCTGAAAAATATCTAGTCTGAATACAAATTGCCAACACCTACCCCATCCCGTTCTACCCTCCAAGGGGCGGTTGGGTAGCCTAGTGGTTAAAGCGTTGGCTCGTCACGCCGATGACCCGGGTTCGATTCCCCATATGGGTACAATGTGTTAAGCCCATTCCTGGTGTCCCCCGCCGTGATATTGCTGGAATATTGCTAGAAGCGGCGTAAAACTAAACTCACTCACTCACTCTACCCTCCAATCTCTCCATCCCCACAACACCCAAACCACCAGAATATCTAACGGTCGGTCCCAACAATAACACCTCATAAAAATAGATATTCATAAATTTGTAAACGCTTCATTCACATTAAAATATGTTAAAGCTGAATGGGCATTTTTCTCAAAATCTGAGATTGTTTGTTATATGGATCTCTTAGATTCTTACACATCGATATGAAAATACATTTTTATGATTTGTAAAACTCAACTCTGAATTCTATATTCAGGATCAAGTTATAGTTTGATTAGTACATTCAACTGCACAATTATTATGAAATTTCGTTAAAGAAAATCCGTATATCTATGTACATAATCACAGTAAAGTTTCACAATAATGCATCGCCAATTCTTGAATCTCATGAGAGCAAGTTTATGTACAAACTCTCCACACTATTCAGCGTGAGGAGTTCTATGTGGAGGAGGCACCTGGCAATTAGACTGGTACAATGCCTTAGTTGCGCTGACAAAGGTAACTAGGACATGGTACCGGTCTACACCTGACGGGCGCATCCAGTACGATTGTTGAAAGTAATACTTTGGTTGGTTGATTGGTCTATTAAAGCTGGTTTCCACCCAGTCACCTCCGTGGGGGCGAATAGGGGGGCGGGTTGGACAATATTGACATGGAGGACGGAGCACCTGCAAAGACAAAATAGAGTAATTATATCTAGCTGGGCAACAATATTATAATAAATTAAATGATATAAATAACCGATTCTGGAAACAGGCAAACTGGTTATTGGCACCTCAGTGTGCAATACGATTGAAATAATCTCGAACGTGACCTTAAACCTCACCACACCTCACCACGCGAATGATAACTCAACATAACTTCACTTAACGTAACTCAATATGAATGTCGCAATACGAATGATAACTCAACTTAACTCAACCAAACTGAAACATGAGTCTCATTAACCTATTCAGACAATGACCTACTTTTCAGCCGATCCGAATTTTCTCGTGTGAAAGTGAAAATAAACATCACAAAGAACTATGGTTACACTGAATTCCAATTTCTTGTTTCATAAGCAAATGGTATTTACAAATGAATTTTTATTTTAAACTGTAAGAACATCGTATTTTTATATTTTATGGCGAGGTGTAGGCAGCATGACCTTAACTAAGACGTCACAGACTGCCCCTGTTTGATGAGGTCGTAAAATGATTCACAATGCATCTGGCTCACTGGTCACACCTGTTATGTGTTTTTTGCGCTTATTCAGTGTAGTTCTGTAACGCACAATGTGATTGATATAATATCAAGTCCGTACCAGACCGCCAAACTTTTCTAGCGGGAGAGCCTCGTTTTGAGAATTCCACGATTTCCAGGTTTGCCAGAGCTCGCTGTACGACAGAGCAGGCTGCACGACGTGTTTGCAAGGATTAGAAGGAGCGTAGTGTTGCAATATACAAGTGCTTAGATGTATCAAATAATACTGATTAATAATTATGTATCCAGTTAAATGAATTGGTCTCAAAATTTTGGACTGGTTATTGTACCAAGTTGCGCAATAGGACGGGACCCAGTCAACAGGAAACGAGACTGTTGTGTAATCAATGTTTTGACATGCAACTCATCTCAATATGAACCTCGCAATACGAATGGTAACTCAGCACAACTCAATATCAACGTCGCAATACGAATGATAGCTCAACTTAACTCAACTCCTCAACTCACTATGAACGTCGCAATACGAATGATAACTCAACTCAACTCAACTCAACTCAACTCAGATCAACTCAACTCAGTATGAACGTCGCAATACGAGTGAAATGATTTCGAACGCTACGTTACACCTCAGTTCAGTTCAGTTCAGTTCAGTTCAGTTCAGTTCACCTCATCTCACCTCACCTCACCTCACCTCACCTCACCTCACACCACCTCACCTCATATTTCAAGCGGGCCAAAATGACCCCTACCACAGGACACCAAAATGACGTCATAAGAAATCTAGGAACTACTACATCCTAAACGTAATACATTTACTAAAGGCTGTGGTCGCTGTTGCTACACATACGTGTTTGATATCTTGGCGGCTCTCCAACATATCCCGGGGGTAAAGACTGCGTTGCCATGGCAGTATGGTAGGACGGAGGGGCACTCCCGGGGTCGTTGAGGCTGTAGGGGGGAGGCTGGACGGGTGCTACCATGACATTATTGCGTCTTCCGCCTGTTGATATAAATACATTATACAGTGAACTCCGCTTATTACGAACACGCTTATAACGAACTAACGGTTACCTCGAACTTGATCCCGGCTACTTGCTGTACATACATATTTTGTCGACATTCGTACAGCTATAGTCTGTTTGCGGTGAAAACGTACCGATGAATTTCACTTTAAACAAAAAAGTAAATCAAATAAAGTGAAATTAAGATTGCGAATCCTCATAATTTTACCTTGCCATTTGAAAATTTAAATCTCAGAATTTTATTCAACTTGGGATGAAAGTTGTTTAACAAACGATCATAGTTTCAAATCGGTATTATTGGTTTGTATTTCAAGGGGGTATGCACATAAAATGAAACACCGAGATCAAGTAGGGTTGGTCTAAGTTAACGCTCATCACGTACCGCACGTGCATTTGTTTCACTGTTCCAACTACTGCGCTTACCCCCTTGTAATACAAACCAATATAAGCGATTTGAAACTGATCGTTTGTTAAACAACTTTTTTCATAAGTTGAATAAAAATCTAAGATTTAAATGTTCAATTGGCAAGGTAGAATTATGAGGATTCGCAATCTTAATTTCACTTTATTCGATTTACGTTTTCACCGCAAACAGACTATAACTACGGTTATAACGAACTAAAATTTACAGTTCCTTTGAAACTCCTAATACCCGATATGATCCGGGTTAGAATTGGACTCTAGCAACCCATGCTTGTCGTAAGAGGCGACTAACGGGATCGGGTGGTCAGGCTCGCTGACTTGGTTGACACATGTCATCGTATCCCAGTTGCTTAGATCGACCCTGTCGTGTTGCGGTTCATCTCCCATACCTACCACTGATGGACGTGACTCTGTTCTTGGCCCGCACTTTACAATAGAACATCACCAACACACTGACTCCGATGAAGAACAACACAAGGATGAACCTGAAACGAGTGAATGAGTGACATGAGAAAAGGTTTATCTCTATTTCTCAGAATATACGACAACCAGTATATATCGGCGAATGAGGGAAGGATTCGTGGGTGATCAGTTTAATTCGCAAACACATGATTCTTGTCCCCGAGAAAACGTAAACTTTGTTCATCCTTCACATACATACTCATTTTAAATAATATAAATATATTTTTTCCACGCGTCCACAAGAGAAAGTATGTTTTCACAAAATTTCCGGGCCTCGAATGTAGTCTATTAGCAAATAACCTGGTACATTACGTGATGAATGGGTGATGTACCTGTTCACACTGTTAGCACAATACATCAACTCAGTGAAAATCGACAACACTCATGGACGATCTATTCATTAAATGAGTTTACCTACTTAATGGACAGATGACAATAAACGTTTCACGTGTGTAAACATGTACTGTTCACCGAACTTTGTCGACTTCAGAGTGAGAGGCATCAAAGCATGGTCGGAAGGATTTGCAACTACGAGCAACCAAACAACCTACATATTCAACGTATTGTGACGATTGTCGGTGAGCTACTGACGGTCAATACAAGCAATTATACCCGGGATTGCGCCAGTGTGCTGTGATAAATGTCATTACTTGAAGCCATGGTGTGTGGTTACTGCCGTTCATGGTGTAAGTAGTGTCAGTATTAATACTTAAACGAGTTGTTTCAAATCTAGTTCCCAGACACATCAGTGTAATGAAACACATTAGCTGTTAATATCACGTAACATATGTTATATTTGGAATTACATTAAAGTACAGGTTCTAGTTCTTTTGTTGGGTTTGAGTCCCATCCGGGATTCGAACCCACACCCTCAGAGTCAGGCACCTAATCGCCAGCACACAAAGCCAGCCGCCTACACAAAGTCCAGTTGTCCGACTTCCATTTTTGTGGAAGTCGCGGTGCCTGAGCGGGTTAGGCGGCTGACTTTGTGTGCTGGCGATTAGGAACCAGATGGGACTCAACCCAACAAAAGTACTAGAATCTGTACTTTACAGAGAAGGTGTAATCCTAAATATACCATATGTTACATTTGACCACTTTCTAAATTGCTTTGTGCAATCATGTTAAATATCAATATATGTCCTCCTCGTGTGGATTCACTGGATTCCGGGTTAGAATTAAAATGGGGATCGGATGGCCACAATGTGTGATCTGATGTTAGCGCAGGAACATTTCATTTGTGGGGAACTTTCACTCGTCACGTGGGCGACGGAAAATATATATAGTATCACGAATGTATGTATGATTTATTTGCATCTATGAAACGTACAGTTTTCTTCGTTTTGTCTTTTTCACATTTAAAAGGAAAAGGAACGTGTGTTGCCAGTTGATTGCTAAGACCCGTGAAGATCAGGGGGTAGAACTGATCTTCAGCAGCCCATGCTTGTACCAGGCGACCAACGGGTTTGACTGGTCACACCTGCATGGCACGCGTCTTCCTTGTGGGGATTGGATGCCCAGAAATCTCATGGAGTATTCAGTGAATAAAGTTTCCATTTAGCCCACACAGACCTAGCTTCTTCAACCATAGTACATATCTTTTACTATTAATAGTATATATTATTATTTTTTTATTATAGAATATTTATATAGCGCACATATCCACGCAACTGGTGCATGCTTAAGGCGCTTGTATTTTTCCCTCGATTATTGGATGTCAATCTCAACGGCACATCGTATTATCAATCTCAACTCCCTGGGGAGTATACAATTCTTGCTGCCACTAAGCGCACCGAGTTATTGTGGCTTTCTCATTCTAACGAGTTACCCATTCACAGTTGGGTGGACTGGGACACATAGTCACAGTACTTTGTCCAAGTTCACTGCACGTTGCTGTACCTGCAACGAGGTGTTTGCATGTATTCATGTGGCCACCATCGGGTCATATACCAACAGATTCGTGGGTTCTTTTAAGTGCACAGGGTTGTGTACTGTCCACTAGGTCTTGTGACAACATTGAAAGAGTCTGCACACAAAGTTGACTCCAAGGTTTTTACACCCGGTCACAGGTGGGCTCGATCCCGGCACCATTTTATATTTGAGATTACACTTTCTTAGTGAAGTACCGAATCTAGTATTTTTGTTGGGTTGACGGTCCCATCCGGGATTCAAACCCACACTCTCAAAGTCAGGCACCTAATCGCCAGCACACAAAGTCAGCCGTCTAACCCACTCAGCCAACGCAGACATTGACAGAGTGATTTAAGTGAATTTACTTTTACGCCGCTTTTAGCAATATTCCAGCAATATAAAGGCGGGGAACTTCACACATTGTACCCTTGAGGGGAATCGAACTGGGGTCTTCGTCGTAACTAGCGAACGCTTTAACCACTAGGCTACCCCACAACCCCTAGCTGTCACAGAACCTCTCACGCGGTTCCCAGTTTGTCTTAATGGATGCGCACAGCACGTATCACCAATATGTCTTGCTGCGAATAGCAACAGTAGCTCACTCGAGAATGAGTCTCAACGTCTCCCTGTCTGAAACTGTATCTGTCTTGTGCCTGTCGGATATTCTAATAAACAGATAATTTATGACCTGAATCTTCAGTATGATCTGCAAACTACTCAGCCGGAAATTCAAGACTTGTTCATCAATAATGGGTCTCCCCTCGTGTATGGCCAGCAATGGAAAGGGTGAAGGTCAAAAAAGACTGCCTTGACACAGGGAAAAATCTCTGGTGTGTTCATGAAAGTGCTAAACTATAATGGACACTGGTGATCTTTTCAGCTACTGCGTCACGACTTTCAGTACATGGTTACTTCCCTTCGGTGTTTCAGAACCCTATTTTCCCGGTTTCTGGGTTCGTTAGTCAATTCCCTTGCTTATGATATGCAATCGATTTACAGATTCGGGTGGTCAGGCATCCTCATTTGACTGATGCAGGCTATCGTATCTGATTTACGGAGATCGGTGCTCATGTTATCAATCACTGGATTATCATGTCTGGACTTATTCGTAGGAATATATTGCTGAGGGTAGTGTTATACTACAGTCATGGCAGTGATTGTGGGTTTCATCTAACTGATAAACGTCATCATTTTGCTCCTTCGTATGGAATCCTGGAAGGGACATTGTCGCGTTGTCGCATTGTCGCGTTGTCGCCCTCTCAAATACAAGCAAAAATAAACAAAACGCGACACGCGACACGCGACATCGCGAAAATGCGACAAATGGGCGAAATGTCGCGTTGTCGCGATGTCGCGTGTCGCGTTTTGGTTTATTTTACCTCACTTTACTTGTTTTTGACAACGCGACAATGCGACATAGCGACAATTTCCCTTCTTGGATTCCATACCTTCACAAACATCAACATATGTTATATGTTGAATATGTTGAGCTACTGTTCAAAGAGACCTAAACCGAAACGCTCACAAATGTCTTAGGCGTCTGTCATTTATTCAAAAAGACAAATACTTAATGAGTGAGTGAGGTTAGTTTTACGCCACACTCAGCAAAATTCCAGCCATATGGCGTCGGTCTGTCAATCATCAAGTCTTGACCAGACAATCCAGTGATCAACAGCATGAGCATCGATCTATGCAATTGGGATTCGATGACATGCGTCAACCAAGTCAGAGAGCCTGACCACCCGATCCCGTTAGTCGCCTCTTACTACAAGAATGGGTTGTTGAAGACCAATTCTTACCCGGACCTTCACGGGTCAAATACTTGATGAGTGAGTGAGTGAGTGTGTGAGTGTGTGAGTGCGTGAGTGAGTGAGATGAACACTATTCCAGCGTCATGGCTGTTGCACTATGCCAATCCACTGCATGACACAGGTTAATATGTGAAAATGGAACATTTGTTTAAATATGCATCACTGCAGTTTTTGACGAAGAACACTGCGTTAGCACCCTCGTTAGTCCTTTGTTTTTATTCTATTCATCCTGATTCATGTTCTGTGGCGATTCCTCTCAACAGCGCTGGGAAAATTGATCGTCCCGTAATGAGAGGCAGCGTCACACAAGGACGATTCTTTGTAACGGTAACAAGTCAACACTGACAGAATTTCAAACGGGTTTACGGTGAACCTTGATCCTCAAAGAGCGTAGCAAAAGTAACTTAACCGATCGGTTAATTTTATCAAATGTTTGATTTTCAACTAAAAATATTTAAAGTTAGTGATATGGTATCGAAACGTTAACGTGTACTCGTCTGATGCTTAGCCGCCACCTAGAGAATACATCTGTATGGTTTAATATTTATAAATTATGATTTGATTTCATACATTTACGCAAAAATGCGCATCTTATGCATAATATACAACTGCTGGTGGGTAATTATATACGTCTTATCTTTAATATTAATATTAACATTTAATAGATTTGTTTTATGGGCACAAATATTGGGGAGATTAACTTTTAGTCAATTCGTTTCTTGCAACAGTCTGTCTTTTTTATGGGTGTTGCTACAATGTTTATTGGCTTGATCGACATAATCATATTTAACAACAGTTTTTATTTTCAATTACATAAAAAACACAGTAGTATACTTTCTTTTGCCCCTTGGTTTAGAAACAGAATAAAGGTGATTTTCATTTTCTCATGTATGATGACTGACCATATTTTACTGCAGAAGTACGAAGTGGTAAGCTAGCTTCACAGACAGTGTTCTTCCCTGTGAATGTAAACGACATCAGCTACATCCGTGCATGTTTGGATGACTAGTATCGGGCACATGCCCATCGGAGTGCAAGACATACATTTACCATACAGTGGCGAGTTGTTATCTATATGGTTAGCTAATCTGATAAACTTCCTATCACAATCCGGCAATTTGAGATCTCCTGTCAAGGAATACCTTTAGGAAGCTCTGTACAACGATGGAACATACAGAGTCGACTGTATATACTTCCTCGACATGATTGCAAAACGGTACCGATATGAGTAGTTTCCGATGTGCGAGTATTGCAAATCATTTGGCACTGTATCTCAAAGTAAGTTATGATTAGAGCAGATC